CAATGCGGGGCTCGATCCCAGGGCCCCGGGATCATGACCTGAGCCGAAGGCAGACGCTTAACGACTGAGCCACCCTGGCGCCCCTGGAGTTATCTCTTGACTGCTGTATTCTCTAAATAAATGCATGCAAAACCTTGTACAAGTAGCTACTGGTGTTTAAAAATTACACACATTAATCTTTTTCTAATATGCCTGTAAGTGGATCTGAACGACAGTGATTTAGATGTAAAATCCAACGATAATCAGCCAGGAAGGGTGATGTAGGAAGGGATGACGTGACAGTCACCAAAAGGGGCCCTGGCAGCTTCTGGGTTCTCTCCTGATGGAGCCGAACAGTGGTCCGGCTCGCCCCCATGCAAGACAGATTCGGCTTTGCTGAGGCTTTAGGACTTACTCATAAATATGGACAAAAGGGAAAATTCTGCAGGGTACCTGTTCCCTGCTCAACACGAGGTTTCACCCAGCTTGCCCCAAAGCACTGCTCAGACCATCCACGTATTTGCTAGGCTCAAGTGAGAAGAACAAATACCCGGGGCCCGCCAGTTTCCGGAGCGACCACAGGAGGAATGTCAGTGCCGTGTGAGCTGCTGCCTGTGTTGAAAAGACCACAGGGACCGGGCGGCCAGGGACACCGGCAGGGTGAGTCCCGGGTTCCGGGGCCTCGGGTCCCGCAGGCCGTCCCGTTGGGTGGCCAGTGTTCCCCTCCTTTCACAAGTGTGTCTTACAGCCTTAACCGAAACGGTGCTCACGCTCTGCTTGCGGAGAATGAGGGGCGGCAAGGATGAGGCTCTGGCCGGCGGGCTGCTCATACAGCTGCCTCTTGTTCTCATAAATGCTCTTCCTCCAAACAAAAACGGTTCTAAAGTCTCCTGTTGGAATGAGACACGGGGACTGCCTCGGCTGGGAAAGGACTTCCAGGTTTGGGGGCAAAAGCTGGCTCTCCCTGTGGGCTCAGTGCCGTGCCACAAGGGTGTCCTTCCTCTCGGCCCCCTAGGAGACAGGCTGTAGCTGCTGCATTTGTGAAATGGGAAGGCTCTTAAGACAAATGACTTCGGGTCGACACATTGGCCTGTGCAGCAGCCACCCCCCCTCCCCCCAGGGTCAAGACTCAAGGTCATCTGCTGCCTTTGCCAAGCAATCACTCAGGGCTGCCAGGCCGGCCGCCGAAGCCGCTCGTGTTGGGTTCTTCCCCACCCACAGAAAGACACGGCAGCTGTGCACGTACACGACTGGCTGCATTTCCTAAAAGCATCTTCAGAGATTTAATCAAAAAAACATTTTAAAACAATTTTTTTTTTTTTATTTTTTTTTGCCAGGATGAATGAGGCTCAACTTACTTCCTTGATCAACATGCTAGACAAGAGGGCAAGTCCCTTTTCAGGGCCAGCCCCTCCGCCCTCCGAAAGGAGCCCAGGGGAAGGCTCGGTCAGCACCGAGCGCCCCAAGCAGCACAGCGCCTGACCCATCAACCAGGAATGAGCGAGTATCCCAATCTCTAACGCACTCCTGCCACCCTGCCTTGGGGTTTGAGTATTTCCAGAGTTTCCACAAATGTGAACGAAAACCAACCACTTCAGATGTTTCAAGGCTGTCTGTCCTAACACAACGGTCCTGCAGACTTGAGGGGACAGTAGAGGACCAAGCACATATTCCTGCTTCTCTTGACCCATGACATTCTATCCCCCTTCGCAGCCTTTGTCACGGACAGGTAATGTGTCTGAAACAGAGTATGAGAAGCTTCTGAATAGTTAGCGTAGGTCTCCTTCTCAGAGCGGCACCTCGGCGGGGCAGGGCTGGGCTCCGAGCCCCTCCGGGTACCGAGTCCCCAGGCGCTCAGGGGAGGCCGACAAAGTGAACGGAGCACCGACTTAGGCGCTTCAGTAACTGAAATGGCCCTGTCTTCTCTTGATGCCCTTTCCTAAAGTAAAAATAAGAACCTTTCTTAAGTGCAATTAGGCCAAAATAAAATCCAGAATGTTATACACAGTCAGTATGTTGAAGTTTCAGAGTTAGCAGCAAAAAAAGCAAAGCTTTTCTCCAGGAAAGGATAAGCAGTTCCAACCGAGTCAGTCTTCAGCCCCTGCAGCCTTGTCCTGTTTTAATATTAAGGTTCTGAATTGTTTGAAAAGCATTTATTAAGCACCTTTAGATCTTTTCAGTATCTAGAAAAGTTTCCTAGGGCTGTGTGAGTAAAGCGTTCCACTGGGTAAGACTCATGATTTTTACTTTTATCACTTTTTTTTCCAAACAAAAGCACAGTCTTGATTTACATGTTGAAGGAACTAGATATTTTTGAAATTTCTGGCATTTCTGTTCTGTTGAATTTTAAGGGAAGAAGCAGTACAAAGTTAGGATTGCTAAATAATAATCCCCTTGAATTTGAAAAATGAATTAAATGACACAAATTGCACTCTTTCTTAAAGTTTGTAGTCTTTAGCCAGATGGTTCCCAGAGGTCTCAGGGAATTAGCAGAAGTCACCAATGGAGTTTCAGGATGCCATTCCATCTGTATGTTTGCAAATGAGGAGGAAGGAAAGCAGTGGAGAATATTGACAAAGTTGATGAACTAGTACAGGGTGGCTCGGACTTTTAAAGTTTATACAAAATAACATCACAAAACTACAGAACCCCACACCCTGCCAGGATAGGCCAGGTCTACAATGAGCTAGCTAAGCGCATCTGAGGCAAAAAGGCCAAGGCTCCCTGAGCTGCCTGCGGACAACAGGGACAGTGGGGGGTGGAGTAGAGACTCACACTTTTTTGTCCTGTCCACAGTTGTAGTTAGGGAATGAATTCCTTCAAGTGCACAGTGAACCCTATCGATCTCATACACAAAAATTAACTAAAAATAGATGAATAGATGAATCTAAATGTAAGAGCTGAAACTATAAAACTCTTCGAAGAAAACGTAAATGTGAATCCTCGTGACCTTGGGTCAGGTAATGTTTTCTTAGATATGATCTAAAGAGCATATGCAATAAAGAACAAGTTAATAAGCAAGACTTCAAAATTAAAAACTTTTGTGCTTCAAAAGACACCCTTAAGAAAGTGAAAAAAGACAAGACACAGACCGAGAGAAAAAAACTAGATCATATCCCTGGTAAAGGACTTGTATCCAAAACCGTATAAAAATCTCTTATAATTCAATAAGAAGACAAACAACCCAATTAAAAGATGGGCAACAGACTTGAACAGACATCTCACCAAAGAGAAATAAATGGCCAACACACACAAGAAACAATGTTCACCATCATGAGCGAAATGCAGATCAAAACCACAGTGAGCTACCATCTCACGTAGATTGGCCACCATCAAAAAGACAGGGACAAGCCCCAGGGGAGACTGTGGACAGGCGAGAACCCTCACATGGCGCTGCTGGGAATGCAGGACAGTGCAGCCACTGGAAACCATTTGGCAGGTTCTTAAAATATTGAACATGGATTTGCCACATGACCCAGAAGTCCCACTCCCAAGAGAGACGAAAACACCTGGCCACACAAAGACTTGCTTATGAATGTTCAGAGCAGCATGATGCATCATAAACAAAAAATGGAACCAGGAGATGAAGAAAGAAAATGTGTGGCATCTCTGCACACTGGAGCGTTCAGCAGTACAAAGGAATAAAGTACGTAGCGAGGAACACATATGTACAAAGGAATAAAGTCCCAATGTGTGCTACAACGTGGACAGACCTCAGAAATACCATGCCAAGTGAAAGATGCCAGATAGCAAAGACCACATACGGTGAAATTCTACTTAAATGAAATGTGCAGAATAGGCGAATCTAGAGAGACAGAGGTGGTCAGGGGTCGCCCAAGGCCAGGGGCAGGGGTGGGGACCGACTGCAGATGGACACGGGGCTTCCTTCCAGCAGGATGTCCTCAGGCGGACCGGGAAGGACAGCCGCACAACTACACTGACGATCACTGAACGGACACGTCCGGGACTGTGTGAATCGCACCCCAAAAAGCTGTTTGAAAGGACTGAGAGCTTAACAAAATTCTCAGTGTCTACACATCCCTTAACTTCTTGGAGAGGATCTAGTGCCCTGGAGGGAAGGTGAGTGCGTCGTGCCTGAGAGATTCCTCACCCGGAGGCAGCTGCTAGGGGTCAGGAGGGAGTCTGTAAGCTTCTCAAAAGAGTTCAGGAAGCTCTAAGGTCAATCTTTTAAAAATTTAATAGCGAAAAGAAGCTAAAGAACACCATCAATGACATATACCTTGGGCTATTTTAGAAAACTGCTGAAACGCTGACATGCTGAAAAAGATGCTTCCTTGTCAAGACGTCATTCAGCCGCACTTAACACTGACCTCGCACTGGCGCGTCCTGGTTTAAAGGTCAACGGCCTCCAGCACGTAGTAACAAGGCTTCTCTACTCTCCCCCGGCCTCCTCTGCCAGCGGACCGTAAGAGACTCTAAAGGGGCCTCCGGCATCTGCGGTGGCCCTTCCGTTAGCCCCTCGGGCTTCTCAGCAAGGAGATCCTCCATCCTGCGGGGCCCCCAACCCAGGGCTCACCTCTAGCGCGTCTGGTTGCGCCCCCTTCTGTACAGGAACCCGTGAATGGAGTGGCGGACCTCGGTCTCAGATAATGTGTTGGCTCTGAAGCTGATAGCCAGTAGAAGACAATATAACTGGGCTTTCCTAAAATAAACCATTTATTGAAAAAAGAACCTTTTTCTTAAATTTCATTAATCAGCCTTTGCATAACAAACCTGTGGCTTGCCAACAACAACAAAAAGGTAAGGTTTCACAGTCAGTGCACTCGACAAACAAGAGTTTCACAACAAGGCCCAGGACACCTGATAACACTACAACTGCTTTTGAACCCAGGAAGGTCAAAATACTACGCTGACGTCACAGTTCTCAGTCCCACGAGAAGCAGGTGACAGAGCGACGGTCCGTGGACAGTAGTAATGGCACTTAACATGCAGCGTCTTTACCTCGTGGACCCGTCACTCGGAAGGGCCCCGGGCCACGTCAAACAAACAGGAGCAGCAGGAGAAGTGACGCCTGTCACCTGTGCAGCCTTCAGTCTTGGAAGGTTAAAAAGGCTTATACTGCTTCTCAGCACAGTCTTTATGTAAATATTACATACAGTAGTGATTACGAGAACTCTCCGAGCACACACACTACCAGGCCGCGGACCGACGAGCTTCATTCTTCATCCGTGCAGACCTGCGAGAGAGGCAGGAGAGAGCTGAAGCCCATGGGCGGCAGGCACACGACTTACAGGTTAAGTCACCGCCGCCTCGAGGACCCCGGCTCGGAGCCGGCCCGACGGCAGGCTCAGCTCGTGCAGCCGGTGACGTTGGCCAACTGGCCACTGAGGGCACCTTGCAGAACGCATCTGTACAGTATCGAGTTGACACAAACTGTCTCAACAAAGAAACGACTGTGTTTTTAATTACAAATCCCTGGTATCTACATAGCAAATCCAGCTACTGGTTCCTTAATTCCACTCACCCCGCTCTCCTCACCTTCCCTCCCCCCGTCAGGGGCTCCCCTGCAGGGCCCTTTCAGCGAAGCTTTCCCAGGGTTCCCTTCTCACCACATTTCTCCTCGGAGTACTCTCCCAACAATGTGCTGTCTTCTGGATCCGCATCCGTGCCCTGTTCAATCCCAGGTGTGAGCCCTCGTTACCTACATGCCCGTCTGAAATCCCGAAGCAGACGTTCCAAGCACGCCTCAACCATAATATACCGAAGAGGAAACCACGGCCTCCCTGCCCCGACCGTCAGCCAGCTGCCTCTGCACCCCTCCTGGCCGACGGGGTCTCTAACCTGGGGACCCAAGCCGGGGCCTGGAAGCAGTGCTAGACCCCTCCCCTTACTCGCCTTTCTCATCCCATCAGCTATTCAGTCGTGGCCATTTTAACCCCCTAAATATCACTTATAACTCGCCCCTAACCTCCCATGCCCAGCCCACTAGCTGTAGCAGCAACTTCCTAACCACTATGCCTCCAGAAGGATCATTCTAAAACATCATTTAATCGTGTCATGCTTATCATAAAACTGAAACTCCTTCATGGGGCTCCTGTTCACTTTTGCAGCCTTACCTTTGACCATTTTCCACATCCTGTGATCCATCTACACACAGTTCCTCAACCGTCTCACCCTCGTTAGCCTGCCGTACCCACACCTCCCTGCCCGGCCTACCCACACCCTCCCAAACAGCTCAGGCATCTCATTCCAGAGAAAGCAACAACGGCTGAGATCGCCTGGCTGGATGAAATCGCTCTTCGCAGTGACCCGACAGCATGGCGTACATGCCCTCATCCCAGCTCGGAACACAATGCTTCGTCACTACTGAGCCCTACACTCTCAGGAGTAGAAACTATGTCTTCCACCCAGTCCCATTTAAAATTCCATGTAACAGTCCCAAGTGTACCATAAGCACACCAGGATGGATCAAGCAGAGAACCTCAATGAACATTTACTGGAAAAAAAAAAAAAAAAAAGATACAAAATTCCCTGGCATAATACATTTAGCTCCTTTCCATTTCAGATAATAGATACAGATATTTTATATCTAAGTTTCCAAATTTCCTTCAGTGCCAGATACAAACAGAACTCAAACATTCAAACATGAAAAAGACTACACAGCTATCTGCCCAACCTTGACGAAGGAATGGTCAAGGAGCTGGCTGGCCGTCCACCTCATCCTGGGCTCACTTTCAAGGCAGTGAGAAAGGAAGTCCTTTCCTTCCGGGCTTAATCTTTCAGGGATCGGTGGCTTGTGCCCCATTCCCACTTTATACATAATCTGAAAGTTGTGTTCATATTCATGCCAAGGTCTCTAAAAAAAAAAAGGGGGGGGAAAGCAGGTTTAATGGCCATAAAAAAATGAAACTGCCCAATCTTTTCAGGCATCTCAATGTTAATAAATACCCAGAGACCAGCAAGCTTTTACTCCCAGGGCTAATTAGTATTTTACGCTTGCAGGCCACATAATCTCTGCCACAGCACCTCAATTCCCCTCCTGTGGGCCTGACTGCAGCCACAGAAGATACATAAATGGATGGGTGTGACTGAATGCCAGTAAAACCTTATTTACAAAACCAGCTGGTCAGCACAGTCTGCCTACCCCATCTGGATGTTCTATTAGTCCAGCGTTATCTAGAAGCCACCATCATGCAAATAAAAAATGTAATACATAAAATGATACTAAAATGTCAACAAAACATATAAAACTCAACAGTTCTCTCAGAGGGACATCACTACGCCACCCTGTTGAATAATGAACATCAATTCCTAAAAGCGCAAAGCTCTGGTTATATTACACATCATAAAACATAAGAATAAAATGCTATTTCGTTCAGCAGTCACAAGGTATAATACATATATTACTAATAACACTTGAGAGGTTTCTTACATTTTCTGCTTTGTAAGTGATACCACTATACACACATACAACAGTCCCTTTATACATCTGTATAGCTGTTCATTAGCAGTATTTTCATCAAAAGATACACTTTTGGAATTTTCAGATAGGCAATCATACAGAACATTCTTGTGCTCTATCTAGCCATCCTCCCCTCCCTCTCCTGGAGCCGCTGCCAACAGCTGACCCTCCTCCTGCCTCCTTCTGCCTCGCCCGGAACGCCATGTGGTTGGAATCACACTGCATGCATGTGGCGCTTCCAGATTAGCTTCTTTCCCGTCGGCAGTATGCTATTACAGTTCCTCCACGTCGTCCTCTGGGCTTCACGGCTCATTTCTTGTCACTGCTGCAGAATACCCCGTTGTCTGGATTAGCAGTTTGCTCATCCGTTCACCTACGGAAGGACACCTTGTTGCCTCCAAGGCTGGCAATCATGAGTCACGTTGCAGTCGCGTGCTAGTGTTTGAGTGGACAGAAGTTTCTAGTTTCCCGTCTCTTTCTGTAGCGTCTTGCTTCTCCATGTTTTCACTTGAGCTTCCTACATTTTTTATTCACTCGCCTAAGAGTTCTCTAAGTCATAAATCTTACAAGTATTTGGTTCCTAGTTTGTCACTTGTCTTCACATTACTGTATCTTTTGATAGGTCGCATCTTTTATATTTAGTCACGTTTTCTAGTTAGCAGAAAATGTGTCCATGGTATTTATAATAGCTAATAAAACCATAATTACAGCTCTGTTCCTGTGAAGTGCCCTCCGGGAGTTTCTCCTCCAGGTGTGGGCTCTGCTTACCTTGCCTGTCACCATCTCTATGACGACACACCCCAGACTCCAGATGTCCGCGGCACGCCCATGGCCTTCTCCTTTTGCGCGAGTGATGACCTCAGGAGCCATGTATGCTTTAAAAGTCACAGATATGGTGATAGAAATGGGTTATAAACACAGCACCCCACAGTAATAGAGCCAAGCAAGAAATTATGATTGTGTAGTACTCCACATAAATGAAACAACTAATTTGTTGGGGCCGGGGGGCAGAGAGGACGTTCTCCAAGTTACGTAATAGGAAACATTGAAACTAACAGACATTTCAAATAAATTTTCTGAATGGACATTTTAGGGGCTGAATTATTACCTAAAGGACAATTTTTGAATGGCAAATCTTCAGATAAACTGTATTCACAGTAAAATATGAAATTTAATGTGCAAAAAAAGATGTAAAATTCCATGACACTGAACAATCAAAACAAATAATCACCACGTAGACAAGTCCCTTTTTAAAGGCACAATAAAGCAGACTGGTGGGGAGCCTGCCAGGCGTGGGCTTGGCTGCGCGGGCAGCACATTCCCGTGTGGTAAGATATTCACTGACTTCTGGGTGTGCCTACCCACTCCTTTTCCTTTAAAAGGGCCAATAATGCTCCAAACTTCCTGCCTCCTTTAGAGAGGCATGAACTGTCACAGGTGTTGGACAATAAAAGCGTTATGTTCTTAAAAAAAAAAAACAACCCATACTGCTGTATTTAACATACTGCTGTGTTTTGACTAGAATAGTTTTAATAAGCCCCACGTGAACAACAAAGACAGGTTTTCTGGGAAGAAAGAGAGGCCTTTCCTCCCTCGTCCACTTCAGGGGCAGAGGCGAATTTGTGCGTCTGAGACGTGCTGGCAGGTGGAAGCATGTACTCGAAAGCCCTCCTCCCTCCTCCCTGGCCCGTGCTGACAACAGAGGAGCCGGGAAGCCCAGTCAGCAAGCGCGCTGCAGTGAGTCACCTCGGCAAAGACAAATCAAGCCAGTCCCCACCTGCTGTCCCCAGCGTGCTATTCACTTCGCCCGGCATGGTCTGCGCGTTGTTCTTAAGCTTTACCGAGCATCCGAAATCGCCCAGCTTGATGAGTCCGGAGGAGGTGAGGAAGATGTTGGCACCTAACAACAAACAAGCGCTCGTCGGGCTCAGGAACACGCGGACAGCATTTTCAGCTACACGGCAGCCCCAATTCCCAGGAGTGTGAGTCACAAACCAAATAATGTCAAGGTTGATAAAACCTGACTTACGAAGCACAATCATAGAAAGATTTTCAGCCTTGTTCACAAATGTGAATACAAGGCAAAGACATTTTCGTATCAGTACAGACAGCTTTGAACAAATACCAGCACAGATTCTAACGCGGAAGACACAGGGAGAGCCCTCCACAGGAGTTACTCGTAAGCTACAACGGCTTGTGGTGGCCTCGTCTGAAGACCAGAGTCGCGAACAGGGACAGGAAGCAACGTGGAGTGAGAACGCGCGCACACACTGCTGTTCTCTGCAGGCCTGGCTGAGGCTGCCCTGGGCTGACTTCGCGCTGAGACGGCAGAGATGCTTCCGGAGCCTCCTTACGTCTCTCAAAGCAACACACACGCTTCCCTCGGACTCTAGCTGGAATCTGGGGTCACTGCTCACGGCTCCAGGCAGCTCTAGGCTACAAGATACTGTTGCCCCAGTGGGGCCACACATCGCCGGCACTGTGCGTCCAACGGCACCTTTCTCAGAAAGCGTTACAGAGCCACTCAAGTTAGACAGCCAGCCACACAGTGAGCTGACGTCTAGCAGATAGTCCTCAGCGCCTGAGTGCTCCCAGCACAGACGGTCCCCACAGTGGACTCGACGGTGCGAACTTCACGACTCTGGAGCTAGTCCACATCTGCACACTTGCCATACTGAATCGTAAAAAATATCACAAGCACACAAGTGAACAGACTTGATTCAAGGACCCTGAGGAATTCTCTTCATGGCCATGGCTGATGACACAGGAAGGTCCCATTTCGTGACAGGGGTCAGAGACTGAGTTCAGGTGTCTGCGGCAGAACACCTGGAAACAGGCCATGCTGGGGCCTGACAAAGAGCCAATTAAACAAATGCTCAGAACGATCCCAGGCAGCAGAGCAATGTGGAAGATGGGCAGGTGGGGAGGCAACAAGGCTGGTGGGTGCTGGGGACTCAGGGGGAGCCACTGGAGGGAGAATGGACGATCCTTACACTCAGACCAAAGCAGGTTCTGGAGTGATCCAGCCCCGCCCTGGGTCAAGCGCCTGGTCGGGAGCCAGCCAATTCTAGAGTGAACGTGTCTAGGCCGGCCTCGGACTATGTGACAGAGTGGAATCCTTCAGTCTGGGGCCCATCAGAGACAAATAATTTGTCACTTTCATTATCCCCAGTTTCCCCAAATACAAAGGTCAGGCGCAAATGCCAGAGGGATAGTTGTGAGACGAGCATGACTATTCCCCTCAAGCCAGAAGAGAAAAGCTCTTCGAATCAATCAACATGACCAAGTTGGTTGTTAGCAGAATCCTACACGGGAGGACGTTGGTGTCAATAAACCTTGTCTCCCAAAACAGAGCTTACACTAGCATTTCAGATTCACTGTCGCTTTACATATTCACGACATTCATATGGAAACACCTCAGAGTCTCGACACGGAGGAAAGGATGCTCTGATCGTGAATGTCTAGTAAATCTACAAGCCTGGCTAAATCAGCCTACAAAAAACAAATTTCATTCTTGGGGGAAACAGATCTCAATGAAAACAGCGTTATGCAGAGAGACAGAGCAGACGTCTCTGTTCATGGATGGGGACGTGTGTTCCACACAGTCTCTCGATCCCGGGTTCTTTCTGGAAGTGTATCGACAGCAAAGGCACTTCCTTCTAGAGAAACGATGTGTGGGAGTGGGACCGAGTGTCTTGGTGGCACCTACTATGCGGAGGGCACGTAGTCTGGTCTCCACGGCAGCCAGGTGGGGGTGAGGATTACCTTTGATGTCACGGTGAACTATGCCGTGCTCATGGAGGACATTGATTGCGATCGTGATCTGCTTTGAATACAGCCTGATGACGTGCTCCTGAAGCCCCAGCCTCGACACCTCTTCTAACGTCCCCTCGTCACAGTACTCCATGAAGATGTACATTTCTTCCTGTGGGAGGAAGAAGATGCAGCTGTGTTTACATGTACACCAAGGGAAGAATCTGGACAACGTCACAGGTTGCACCCCAAAGGAATCTTCTTTCTAATGGTAAGCTATACTCATCATCCTCAACACTGAACTTGTCTGAGAACAGTCATTCCTCACTCCTACACAGAGGTGTCTGCCTGCCTCCTGTCTGGAATTATACAGCTAGTCGGGGTAAGAGTGTCTTCTCCAAATCACAGGTGATAAATTATCTATAATCCTCCGAAATTAAAGTCTGCTATATAATCTCAGACAGGGACCAACAGGGCTGTCCCTATCAATGTATTATTAAGTACTGAAACACATCCTTTTCAGATATGAATTTATTTGTGAAAACATTAAAAATCACCACTATTCAACTTCCCCTGGAAGTTCAGACTCCACCAAGATGCTCCAAGTTATCCTCTTTCCCTCCAAGGGTTTACTTCTAAACACAAGGGGGTAAACGAATTTGAAGTTTTAACTTTCTCATTTCGCTACGGTTCCTTAAATACACGCAAAAGAAAAATCAGCATTACTGGACAGTGCACTCAACAGTGGTTCAGTCAAAAATGGGGTGAAAAAAGTAACGCGCTGTGTAAGGGGCATTTTAGAAGAATCTTCTGATCGGCAGGATGGGTTTCAGTGCTTTATAATGTCGGGTTAACGACTACAGTCTACAACTTACATTTTAGGAAGAACTCCTCTAGTTTCAGAGAGAAGGCAGAAATGATGTAACTCATGGAGATTTCCTGATAATTAGGCAAAGTTACTGTGCTCTGAAATGAGAAGACCTGCGATGTAGAACAGGACTCCGACTGTGCCCTTACTGATGCCTCACACAAAACCGCATGATCAAAGTTGGCTTACTCTATGAAGCTCCACACCAAAATACCGAACCAGATTGGGGTGTTTGATGCCCTCAAAGATTTTCAATTCGTCTGCAGTTTCCTTGATAGTTTTATGGTCATTAGGCTGAAATCGAATCTGTAAAGAGAAAACCGTTGATCAGCGCTGGTCCCGTCACGAACCAGAAACAAGACACCTTTACCCACGAGGGCCTCCTGACATCTGCATCCTCCAGACGCTAGGGACTGTGGTCAGTGTGTCTATGACTTGACTTGGAGTCTTTATCTTTGCTTTGTCATTCCAAGTGAATTAAACATGCCTGCTTTGGAATATTTGGTGAGAGAACAGCTAATAGGATCATTTTCATAACTGCAAACTGAATTCACAAAAACATTAAACATTCTGAGATCACAAGTGTATAGGTTCTGGGAAGATAAAAAGATGTGAGATGATTGTGCCCTTAACAAGTTTACAAAGGGCCACATGCACCCCAGTGTTGACAGCAGCAATGTCCACAAGAGCCAAGCTATGGAAAGAGCCCAGGTGTCCATCGACAGATGAATGGATAAAGAAGACGTGGTCCATATATACAATGGAATATTACTCAGCCATCAGCAAAATGAAAGCTTGCCATTTGCAACGATGTGGATGGAAACAGAAGGTATTACGCTAAGCGAAATAAGTTAGAGAAACAATGATCATATGATCTCACTCATATGTGGAATTTAAGAAACAAAACAGAGCATCACAGGGGAAAAGAGGAAAAAATAAAACGACGAAATCAGAGAGGGAGACAAACGATAAGAGACTCTTAATCATTGGAAACAAACTGAAGGTTGCTAGAGGGGAGGGGGTAGCAGGATGGGGTAACTGGGTGATGGGCATTAAGGAGGGCACGTGATGGAATGAGCACTGGGTGTTCTATGCAACTGATGAATCACTGACCTCTGAAACTAATAATACATTATATGTTAACTAACTGAATTTAAGTTTCAAAAAAAAAGTTTACGACTGGGGCGCCTGGGTGGCTCAGTCAGTTAAGCGGCTGCATTCGGCTCAGGTCATGATCCCAGGGTTGTGGGACAGAGGCCTGCATCGGGCTCCCTACTCAGTGGGGAGTCTGCTTCTCCCTTCCTCTCTCCTCACTCGTGCTCTCCCTCTCAAATAAATAAATAAAACACAGGAGCGGGGGCAGAGGTGGGGAGGAGAGGCAGAGGGAAAGGGAGAAGCAGGCTCCCCGCTGAGCAGGGAGCCTTCGATCTCCGCACCCGAGATCATGACCTGAGCTGAAAGCAGACGCTTAACTGACTGAGCCACCCAGGCGTCCTAAATAAAATCTTTTTTTTTTAAAAAAAAAGAAGTTCGTGACCCAGCGGGAACAAGGTGGTAGAGGCGGTGCAGGTGAGTGTCGTCCCACGCAGGAGCTGCGAGAGGGAGGGCCACGGCAGCTCCGGCCTCTTCCCCCATAGGCTCCTCTGCCCCTCGAGTCCCAAAGGGTCTCCTCCTGAGCAATTACAGTGTTTGCTTCCCTGACGGGCCTCCTCAGGTTTTCCCTGCTCTCCCCCATTGTACCTCCAGCTATTGAAATGCTGCTCATTTCTGAAACTGACCACAAACGGTAACTTTTCCACCAGCTCCCTGATAAGACTGTTACCACCGCCCTCTCAGCCTTCAGCTAACTTTCTGGCCTCCCTCTGTATGGCACTTAGCACACCTGGGTGGAGGCAGAATTATCTGTGCACCGGGTTTGGGCGTCCTCACTGGAATCGGACACTCCGTCATCCCAGGGCATCTGCCTAGATGACTCAACATGGAGGCAGCCAAGCTAGCTCTAGGTGCTAAGAACAGCCTCGAAAACGAGCTTCTTCACCAAACCTCTATCACACAGAGGCTTCAAACCAAAAGGCCCCCCACAAGGCCAGACCACTCACCTCCTTCATAGCCATCAACTCGCCTGTGTCAACACTGATACAGGTGTAGACCTTCCCATACTGCCCCTCCCCTGTGAACAGAACAAACACACTGCTCTCAGTCACCAAAGCGAGGCCATTTTAAGTCACTCAGATGTATAATAATCTTCCCCAAGTCTGGTTCTATATTTATATAATCTACAATTATCTACTATTGCAAGACCCAAAATGTTTCTGAACGTTCCCCAATGACTGAAGGCAATCTCTTGGCTGTGCCTTCCCTGTAAAAATCTAGAGTAGAAGTGACTTTGGCAAACCCGAGGAGGGGCATGAAGGTGCACACTTCTGAGCCCTTACGGCCCTCAGGGAGGTCAGGGCCGGGGGTCAGGAGTAAGCCCGGCCACCGGCTAACTACGCCTCATTGCTGCACGGCCCGGGCTGTGTGGGAGTGGATATTCGACCAACACATCTTTGGGGACATTAAGCGAAGGGGATATATGACTAAGCCTGATAACAAGAATTGATAAAATTTATAAAGCACTTGATTTTTTCAGTGTTTTCTGCCCTAACTGATAGCTCTACGGAACGCTGAGGGTTTCCTGGGGGCTCACAGAGTCCTATTACTACAACTGTGTTGGCCTCTTCAGACCTAAACACTCCCTGGAGAGATGCATTTAAAAGACGGAAGGGTCTGAAACATGGTCAGGCTCCTTCTGTCACACGAGCCACCAGCAGTTATTTTACAAGAGGCGCTTCACCTGGAAATTAATTAATAGGCAATGTTTTAGGGAAGACTGTCTCTATCTGTACCCAGTCTCTCTTCAATAATGTGCTGGAAGAAATAAGGTCATAAGAACATCAACTGGAACTAATGGGTAAAGTTTATGTAGTTCGTCCACTGGCAACTTCTGGAGTTATCAAGCAAAACGATTCAATTTAATGAACCATTTAAAAAAATCTTTCTAAAATCTTCTCTTGTGCTGCTCTTAGAACACATTTTACAGACACATTATTTATACAAACTAAAAAACAGAACCCTCTGCAAAAGATATGCCATGTTATAAGAGAAAAGGACCAATTACATGATTTGGCCTAAAGACATGTAACTCTTGCCATTTCCAACAGAGGTTCCTCAATTTCCTTACCAATTTTGTTTCCTCTTTGCCACTTGAAGGTCACCTTCCTCAAGCCTACGTGCATAACGTTATCGTAAGATTTAGGGGTATCACACACTTGACCAATGATATTCTTTCTCCTCATTTCTCGATACCTCTTTTCTTCAAACAAGCGGACTGACTTCTGGATAGCTTCTATGGGTCCTTGTTTGGAAGCACTGTCTGCAGGGAGAATCACAAAGTCAGTAGTCCCAGTCACCACAGCGAGTCAATGTCCAGCAAACAGTAATAGAAACAGAGCAATACACATGAGCACTCCAGCACAGCACGGCTTATCGTCCTCTAGTCAGATACCCAGCAGGTGCGTTCAAGTCCATTGCAATCCAACAGCTCCAGAGGACACCACCCACTGCACAGACACACACAAAATACGGGCCAGTCAGGCAGAGCCGATGACTTCCTCCCTGCAGACTGCTGCTCAGACAGACATTGCAGTGACTTCCCATTTGCCTCCAGTCTCTCTGGTCTCCGAGCCACTCTTGTTGGCCAGAACTGTCTTACTAACAGGTAAAACCTGATCATGTCCCTTTCCTATTTAAATTTATTTCATGGTTCTCAACCTGTTTACCAAAAATCCAAGCCCTTCCTATGGCATTCACGACCCTGCAGAATTTGGACCTGGTTTATCTTTCCCAGTTCACTTTTGTCAGTATTCTCCTTTTCTTCTCCTACCACAGGCCCCAGACAAACCAAACTGAACAGACTCATATAGAACACTCCAAGCCGTTTCTCACTTCAAGCTTATGTCACACTCTCCTGCCTGTCTAAAATGCTGTCTTCCCACCACCGTGCCTGGGGAGTAGATCTCACGCATCACAGCTCCACTGAAATACCACACCTTTTCTCGGGAGCCATCTCTGGAGAGAAGCGAATTAAGTTGTCCCTTCTCTGGAAAGAGTCCAGAGCAAAGGCTCTGGAACCAGAATGCCCGGGTAAAATCCTGGCTTCGCCATTTTCCAGGTGTTTGAAAATGGGCAAGTTACCTGACTTCTTCACATATCAAATTCCTAATCTGTGCAATGAGGGTAATAATACCTCACGGACAAGCACTACTGTGAGTATTTAGTGAAATCATATGCGTAAAGCGCTAAGCCCTGTGCCCGGGACACGGCAACACTCAGTAAGATTTAGCTACTGTTTCTACTGTTCCTTACCTTCTCCTCAGGCTCCACATCTCTAGTTTTTCCACTTATTTTATCATGACCTACAGTGAAAAATAACTTCTACACATACAGAGATCTAAACAACAGTTTCATAAAACGATATTACTCTTACCACACGTGATTCAGACTCCATCCTATTTTTTTTTTTTTTAATGCAGACTGTACAACCCATCGATGGGTCACACCCGTCATGTGAAAAGCACTGCCTTAGACGTGTCCCCTTACATACTCCTCATTCTGTATCCTCGCTATCTAAGAGCCTGAATTTTCTGGCCAACGAAGAGATCAAGGAGGACGAGGATGGCTGTGAGGTTAATTTGAGAAGAGAAATTCCCCAAGGTTTATAATGTTCTAATTATAGGTTCTTACTACAACCATTTCTTAAAAACATGAATCGCTGTTTTACCTCAATATATGACACATCAGGTCTCCTGGGCACAACAAGATTTCACAGCTATGAGCCCATGGACTCCACTGTCAAATATTTCTGGGAAAGGCTTTTTTTTTAAACAGTAAAAACTTCTCAAGATTTCTCCATCTTTGTTAATGCAAACTGTAACTGTCCCGAGAGTTCCGAAGTCCTCTTGACCACAAAGCATTTGTTTTGAAAATTATCACAAAGACCTGGCATGCGTGCGAAACTACTCGTGACGTGGGAGCCACTGGAGAGACTCTTCCCCGTCACCCAGGCTCCAGCCCATGGATCTCCCTGCCCTAAACCCGCCACACACATCTCGCCTGCCCTAGGCCTGGCAGTCATTTCTCGACTTCATTCCTTTTTTGAAAATCCCACCTTAGTCTGGTATCTGACACTGCATGACTGTAATGATATGCTAACCCATCTCCCCATTTCTTCCCCACTCCGGGCTAGCAGCTTCCTCCACCCCGGGGTCTTCCTAGCTCCTCCTCCCCACTCCCCGAACACACCAGGTGCCCAAGAGGCTGCAGGGCTGCCTGCCATCTCTGGGAAAGGCCTTAATCACTTAGCTGTCACTGAAAGACTGGCCACGGTCTGACTTCCCCCAGTCCCTTCAAGTTCACCTCCATTTACTGCTACACAATCACTGCGCCTCCCTCCAAATGTGTTTTTATCCTGTACTTTTCCTCCAGGCTTGATGCAGACCAGTTTTTCCTTCGAGAGTCAGCTCAAGCCTCACCCCTCCATGACATCCCCCGACTATTCCCGGCTTTGGTGGACAACATACTTCCAAGGGGCGATTGTCGGGTAAGAGCACCAGACTTGGAGACAGAAGCAGTGTGCGCTGATCCCAGCTCTGTCAGTTATCACCTTGGCCCAACTATTTGGCTTCTCAAAAACATTATCATACAGCGTTAAGACGTGAATAGTTCTTCATTTCACAAAGATTATTATATTCCTACGCCCACCCAAGGTGACTTACATAATCAACCACCATGACTGCTTGAAGAATACAAAGATGAATAAAACATGTTCCAGATCCAAAGGAGCTTATAATTTATTATAAGAAATAGGAAACGCATACAAACACAGTAATGTCACAGGTATAAAGTAATGTCACAGGTATAAAGTAATGTCACAGGTATAAAAGAGATCACAAAATATTAATGTAGATGGACTAATAATTCAAAAGCTAAAGCATATTTTAGCTGAAACTTCTCACTTTATGCTTAAACATCTTAAGTTCAACATTCTCTCTCTTACCCTTCGTCTGGCTGATAAGTGTCCGAAGTTCCCAGCTTCTTCGAGCTGACCCACCTGAATCACCTTTTGGATATGCTGGTTCTGGAAGAAGTATGTTTTTCACACAAATTAAGATTTATGGAACAAATATGCTTATGTAATTGAAAGCAAGACTGAAATGGTGCGTGGCAATGATTAGTTACCATCAACCTGTCCTTTCTGGTCATTAATTTCTATTTGACGTGAGTGTGAGAAGCTATCTTGACAATCAATTCTAGAAAACTATACCAAACTAAGAAGTTGTCATGATTACATGTTACATGATTACATTATGTTACATGATTTTAACTATATAAACCTTCCACAAATAACAAGACATCAGACTACTGAGCGGAAATTAGATTCTCTGGGGACCCCCCTCAAGAGGCCTGGCATTATAATAAAGCCTCAGTGTATCATTAACAAACCTACTGCAGGTTTGTATTTTTAAAGAAAATAAGAGTGCTTGGCAATTAAAGTATCAGGAATAATTTTCTTTGAAAAGCAACAAAAGTAGACCTAGAAAATGCAAGTACAGCTAAAAAGGCATCTATAGTAAAAAGCCAACATGTTGAATATCAAATGTTCTCCGGGAGCTCTGTCACCTCTTTCTCACTCTTCATTTCTTTCTGAGGCATAACCCATGGAAACTGGTAAACTGAGGCAGAGGATTCAGCCGGTTGAGACCAGAGTCTGCGCCTCACACACTCACCGTCGCGCTCCTCTGTGGGGCTTGAGTGGCGGCTCAGGGACCGAAACTGTAACTCGGCGGCTATGGAAGCCAACCGGTCGTTCTCAGGGACGCTGGAACCCCTGTTTCAAGATTTTTTTAAAAAATTGAGCTGTCAATTCAATGGAACTCAAAATGAAAGATCTGGGAGATTCTTCTAGAGCGGTAATTCTCAACTAGGGGTAATTTTGCCCGCTGGGGAAACCTGGTATCAAGTGAGTACAGGATAATGCGAAGGACAGCCCCCAGATACAGAATTAGGCACCCAAAGTGAACAGCGCTGCTACTGGGAAACCCTTCTCTGGAGCTGGGAAGGACAGTCGGATTTTTATCCTCCGCTGCTGGCACATGAGAACCTGACTGCGTAACGCTCTGTTTTAAGTTAAAAACAACAAAAGTACAAACAAAACAGGATTTATTCAAGGGTTACTGACATGTGTGGAAAGCTCCACCATTTAAGCCCAGGATGGATAAAAATTATTAGCCAAACAGAGCTAATATTTAAAATTCTGATCATACTATGTATTTATGTACTTAATTCTATTTAAAGTGTTAAAATTATTACATGATTCAAAAGATTTCAAATCTCTTACTAAGAAAATGCAAGGGCACACTTAATGATTTTTCAAGCAGTCGCCAAGCAAAGGGGCAGAAGAGCAGGAAGCTTAGCATGTAAAGAACAAAGTTAATTTGCTGCTTTTCCAGAATAAAGTTAAGTGTGTTTAGAAATCCAGAATGAATCCATACAGAGTAAAACCCAGAATTAAATAAGGGAAGTCTTAAAATTATAATTTGAATAATCCAAGATAAGTATGGCCTGAGTTTATTAACAAGTTTCGTGTGTATGAGCGATACCATGCTGCTTTCCATCAGATGCTGAATAGATTTAAGGCGACAGGGTTCTACTGAACAGATGTTCACAAATTATGAAGTATGCACTGCTTTTTTATTTCCCTAAACTCTCAAATCTAGCATAATTGTTAAGTCTGAAGAGAGCGGGACATCCTCTATTGCCATGGGGTTCATCAAAAAGTCTTGACGCCATTTCATGGAAAAATCACGGATACTGAAGTGAAGAGACCCGCGACTCCTAAAGCCACACCCAAGACTGTGCTGCCAAGCAGAGGTCACACGACCCCTCTATTTTCCTGATCTCCCAGAGATAAAATTAGCCAATTCCACATCCTCAGAGACTTTTGCTGGGCAAAAAATATACTTAAAAGAAATAGTGTGCTGATGAATGTTTAACTACTAGCTGTGGAGTTCTACAATTTCAGTGGTGTAACAACCGGCTTGCGAAATTCCTGAAAAATTAACAATCAGGCTCACAAAGCAGTAAGAGCCCAGCCCCAACAAACAGAACACTGTAAAAAAGTTTTATAAACATGGTAAGATCACTAAAGCCCAGACTATTTCCTAAGTCAAACCAAATCAAATCAAAACATTCAAAGGCTGCTGTGGGGCACAGTAAGACTTCACTCACAGGGCTGACGGGTCTCTAGGACAGGAAGGGCCGCACACCGTGAGGTGGGGGCCTTCCTGCTGACGCTGGAAGTCTTGGCCATCATTCGGCTTCCCCCCCGCAGCACGTTCACAAGCGCCGGGCTATACCAGGACGTCGGCGGGGCACGTGCCTCCACCTCGGGGTCTGTTGCACAGGCCCACCACAAAGGGGCTGTTAAGGCCCAAAGTTAAACTGAACAGGAGCCGGGCTCAAACGTAGGAGTGCGGCAAACCACCAGCGGCTAAGCGCATCTCCACCTGGCCTTGCTGTCCTCTGCCCACCATCACCTACACACCACCAGAGAGTCAAGAGATTGTGATTCCTTTGTAAAAAATGGCCTTCGAGATGGCAGACTATGATGGTGGTAAAATTTCTATGTGTCAAGAATCATCCAAAAGATGAAGAATACTTATGAAATGCTACTCACAATGGACTGAAAACAACCTCCACAAAGCCGAAGACTAAATGCACATGAAGGCCGACCACACGTACCTCACTTTTACACTAAAATACACTTAATGTACCACACCTCCAGCTCACAAATGCCTTAAGCCACAGTTCAGGAACCTCTACAAAAGTGGGGGGCGTTCCTCCCTTTTCTAGTTTTGCAGGAATGGTGTGCAAACGTGGAAGCAGCGGGTCACTGGTGAAGTGCTCTCCGCCCCCGTGTCTGCACGTGAGGGCAAGTGGCTTCCCTTCACCCTGAGTTACACTTACAAAAAAGTAGTTTCAGTGCCTCCTTCAGGGACAGGAGGGCATATGTGGAAACATTTGCCATGAAATGCTCTCAACATAAAAATGAAGAAGGTAAATGGGAATCTGTTTAATGGTAAACTGTTAATTGTCTTGGTTGACAGCTTAAGCTGTAAAATACGTTGACTTTTCTTAGATTATAGATGTTTATCACTACAAATTACGAGCAGTTATTATTTTAATGAATGAGAAGAATGGAAATGTTTGTAGAAATTTTAGACTGTTACAAAGTAAGTCTAAAGACATTTTAGTGTTTCTTCAATTCTAAAGCTATAGGTCATCTTTCTGCCAACAACATACTAATATTTTTTCTTTGGAGCAAGATACAGGGCACTGACTTCCTTCACAGTTTCATCTTTTTTGCTCAGATTACCCTCAACCCATAGAGTTTTATTTGACTCTATCACCATCTTTATCGGAAGATGAGAAGAGTACCAGTGTACCCCCTCTGCCAGACGTAAGGGGAGAGTTAAGAGTGACCGAATGTCCTTTCTCCGTTAAGTCTATGAGACCTTGACGAAATCCTCTGTCAAAACTAACAACTAGAATGGGAAGAAGCACAACACACTCCTTACCTATATGGAAGACTCAAGCAAGAGGCTTTCTGGAGCTTGCCAAGTGTCTGATAGCTCTCTCTAGTAATGATACGCTCTCCATATAAGATACGAACCCCGTGAACACATTTTTCCAACTTTCATAAACTATTTCTAATCAATAATTCTATAAATTAGAAAACTTGTTAGAAAAGTGATCCTCCGAAAATACAAATCCCCACCTAATGGTGTTAACTAGAGCCATCTCTGAGCTACGTTGGGACCGACCCCTCAAGAAAGGCACTACTTGCCAAAATTCTCACGTCCCCTTCGGTGGGGACCAGGCTCTTCGGTCTGATACTCCGAAGAGCTGTTACTGGCAGGGAGTCTGGTCATTGTGGTTAACATCAGCTCCGAGGAAATATGAATCAGGCAAATTATGTACTCGTGCTTCTGGGTGCTAGAGCCTTAGGGGGGGTGACACGTCCCCGGGCCACGTCCCAAAGCTGAGGCCGCTGCAGAAGTGCCCAGGAGGGGGCCAAGGAGGCATGCCACTGGTGGAGGGTGACTACCTGGTATCATGGGCACTGCTGACAGGTTTGGCTGGCACAGAGTCGCTGCCCGAGGGGCCGGGGCGACCGGCGGCGGCCGCAGCAGTGACAGAAGCAGCAGCGGGGCTGCCGTGGCTCCGCGCGTCCGAAGGCACGCTCCGAGTGCTGAGACGAGAAGAAAAGCTTCAGGAACACAGCTGAGAAAAGGGACTGGACTCTCCAGTGGTTTTCAATTAAGAATACAATAGAGTGAGGAAGTGAAAAATATTTAAAAATATAAAATGCAAATTTTTCTTTGAGATTCAGGTCTAGGCGTAAAAAAGAAAAAAAAACTAATTATTTTGAAAAATAATTGTGGTCTTCTCCTAGCAAATACTGTCAAATAAAATTAACTTTTAAAAAGTGATTCTACAGGGGAGAGAAAATGCTCACTCCCTCAAGATGCAGAAATGCCACCACATTCAAGGGAAATACTTTGTACTAGGGTTTCAGAACTCACTCTAGTATTTAAGTTGCTTCAAGATTACAGACACACATGAAAGTCAAGACTGGAAAGATCATTCCAATTTTTCTTCACCTCTAAACTGACGTGTAGGATTGTTTTTCAAATGTTTACTATGCTATGCACACTCAAATTTGTTTTTGTAAGGTCATTTTCAAAGAAAGAGAAAGAAAGAATTATTCCAAAGCCAGCAAGCATTTAGTAGCTTGAGGTTACAAATAAGCTGAGAAACTAAGTTATCTGGAAAGGTACAAGTCTGTTTTAAAGTTGCACGTTTTCTTCTCTTGCAACTAAGGCACACTGTGGTGTATCTTCGAGATAATGCAACTAAGAGCTTTTAAAACAGTGTGCACGAGAACACAGAAAAAACACTCAGTGATCAGAGCAAGCTCCAGCAGCCGTCGGAGCAGAAGCATGAAGCTCAGAGAAGAACCCAGACAGCAAACGGCTACATAAGCTCCAAATACCTGAATCCCTCTGGAGTCGGGATGATTAGATGTGGGTTAGGAGGGTCACTGTGGCATCGCGGCACCTTCACAGGACGGGGGCTGTTCCGATGAATAGCTGCCAGTGACAATGGTGATAAATGCGACTTGTTAAAGGAGTCAACAGAAAAAGCCAAAGCAGGTCCCTACACAGAAACTGACTTTGCTGGTGGCCAAAATAAACCCATTATGTAAGTTAAGAAAACTGTATCACATAGACCAACGTTGTTGAAAACGCACTTTTTAAAAATTAATAAAAGGTGTATTATACATTCAAACTTTGAGCCATCAAAAACATTTCTGAAATCCTGGAGAGAAAGTACACAATGGACAGGAAACAAACAATGTGACCCAGCTAGAGACGGAGATAACAAAGAGTTCTTGATGCTGGCTACATTTTTAGAAAGATTCTGGCCTGTGCTGACACTTCAACAGGTTCTGAGTCAGGGATGGTCACTGTCATTTTCCTGAGTATACGGAGTTTTATTTAATTCCTTTAAACCAAACGAGGAGGATCAGACACAGTTTAAGTGGGTTATTCATCTTTTCAGAACATGTTTTCTTCTCTTCTTTGTTTAAATATTCTGGTAAAAACTAGATAAAATTTAAAATAAAAATTTAAAGGGTCCTTGCCTAGTGATTACAGAAACGCTGATAATTCTCCTTTCCCCAAACCAGACACCACTGGGGTACCACACGTGTTACATTTTGTCTATTTCGCCCTGACTGACACATGTCCTCTTACTTTTCACTTGGTTTTAACCCTCCTTAGTTTTTTAAATGTTGTCTTTTCTCTTCAGGTGAATAATTTCACGCCATATGTTTTATTTCATCTACATATGCCTTACCCTAAATGGAATAAAGAACCTTCTTCACGGTTCTGATTTGTCTGTTGTCAATAACATTACACAAGAAACACCGAAATCCCCAAAATGGAGAGATCTGAAGGGAAAACTTGCAAAGCAAAAATCAAGCAATTACTACGAAAAAATTCAGGCAATTTGTGTCTCTGGCTCATTATCTCAACCATTACGAAAGTAAATGAAAGAACTCCAACAGTAACAAAGGTAAAAAGAGAAAAAAAAAAGGCAATAAAAATGCTTCGGGAAGGAAGGTGATGTCTTTAATTCAGCAAACATACTGGGAACTTTGGAGTCAAGTATCACTACAAAATTTCATCTTCAAAGTATAAAAGAAAGATGCTGCTAAAACACACGCATAGGAGTTCCACATTCTTCATATATGAGAGAGAACATTTAAGAGTATATATAAGTAAGGGGCGCCTGGGTGGCTCAGTTGGTTGGGCGACTGCCTTCGGCTCAGGTCATGATCCTGGGGTCCCTGGATCGAGTCCCACATCAGGCTCCCTACTCAGCAGAGAGTCTGCTTCTCCCTCTGACCCTAACCCCTCTCATGTGCTCTCTCATTCTCTCTCTCTCAAATAAATAAATAAAATCATAAAAAAAAAAAAGTTACAACTTTCTAAGGCATAAAAATTTTAAAAAAGAGTATATATAAGTAACTGCTGCAAAACTGTGATTATTTCATTGAAAAGAAAATCCAAACGGTCAATAAACATAAAATAGACGCTCTAATTTCACTAGTGATATTTACTATAGAGATGCTTCTCAGGGCAAAAACTAACAAAACATGGGGCGCCTGGGTGGCTCAGTCGGTGAAGCGTCTGCCTTCGGCTCAGGTCATGATCCCGGGGTCCTGGGATCGAGCCCCGCGTCGTGCTCCCTGCTCAGCAGAGAGCCTGCTTTTCCCTCTGCCTACTTGTGGCTCTCTCTGTCAAATAAATAAAATTAAAAAACCAATGTCCACAAGGAAAGGGTGCAAAGAACTGTAATACACCCACTAACGGACACAATGCAGCCACTAAGGAGAACAACTTGGATCTCTACCCGTTGACAGGGAGGAATTTCTACAGCTGTCGGGTCAGAAGAGCAAGAGATGAGTATCCAATGTGGCCCAACCTTTACGCCATAGAACGAGCAGCCTGTCTGTGCTTGCGTGGTGCCAGGAGCATAAAGGAGGCAGAACGCATCTGTACAATTACGTGAGCGTGCAGAACCGAGGGAAGGCTATCCACCAGGCTGCCCTCGGTGGTTCCGAGTGCGGAGCAGCGGGGAGGAAGACAGGCAGCGGGAACGACAGCTGGTGTGCTCTCCCTTTCCCTAACTGCCCTTGTAAGGACAGAGCACAAAGCCAGATGCAGACTGCTGCCGTGCACAGAGCACTACAGCTTACAAAATGTAAATGCACAGCCCTCAAGAGCATCGATGTTGAGCACGTGCAGAGGAGGCTCAGTGATGTTACCCGGGCAGCCCCGGGTCACCGGGCTGTCTGGCAATCTGACTCTCAGCCAGTGCTACTTCCACCAAGCCACGTGGCCCCGAAGACAAAGAGCACCTCCCGCCTACAGACAGCACTGCTAACCAACCACCCACCGGCAGCTGGGGGAGAGGCACACAGATAATTAGGGACCCCACGGCAGCAGTGATTACCCATCAACCGTGGGAGTACAACTGTTTTCTTTCTTTCCTCTGTAGCATTTTTCTACATGTATATTTTCTACATTTCTCTCCATACTCTATGTTATAATTTTGCTACCATGAAAATGATTCCGTATGTAGTTAAGTTATTTTAAAGAAGTGATTTTTACTGAATTATAGATCATGTATTCTTAGTGAAATATTTTAGGAGATCAGAAAATCCAAGTTTTTAGGATAATATGATTAATCAAAAGTTCCATAAGAATATAGAATGCTATAAAATTGTAACATTATATACAATGTTCAAAGAGTTTTGCAAATGATAACTTCCATTTCATAACAGCCTTGGGAGAAAAAAAGGTATAAAATGAGTAACTGAGTGAATTTTAAAGACAGAGAAACCAAGCATTAAGACCTGGTCTACTAAATTTTCTGTGGCTAGCAAGCACCCTTTAAGATACAGTTCCTGCTAAATAAGTTTACCATTTATGAATTATTTTATTTTGTGTAATTTAAACTGCTTCAAAATTTCTAAGTTTTCATTTTTGGATGTTTATTAAATATAAATACAGTTTTGCTTCTATTTACTATCTCAAGAATGGGGGGAAGGCACAGTCTTTTTCTGATATATTTTGTTTTAAAGTTTCAAGTTTAAACTGTCATTGAAAACTATAATGAAAGAATATCATAGCATAACTTGTGTTTTTTGGGTTTTTTTTTGTTTTTTTTAAGTAAAATCAATTAAGAATTTACTCCGTTAGTGGTGAGATTCTTAGCTCTGGAGAAGAAAACAAACTCATTCTCCTAGGAAAGGTGAGGAAGGGGGCAGAACAATTATACTCACCCACCTCTAGCAGGAAAAGGCCCTTGCTCCCTAACAGACAGCTATCTCTACAAGTCTTTCCTTCCCAGAAGAAGAGATTTTAAGGGAAGAACAGATTTATTGTTGGTATGCAAAATATACATTAATTAATTAAAATGTGTAGTTAACACTGTTGGCAGGCAGTGCATATCCTGTGCTGGCTTTTTTTTTTTTTTTTAAGATTTTATTTATTTGCGAGAGAGAGAATGAGAGACAGAGAGCATGAGAGGGAGGAGGGTCAGAGGGAGAAGCAGACTCCCTGCCGAGCAGGGAGCCCGATGCGGGACTCGATCCCAGGACTCCAGGATCATGACCTGAGCCGAAGGCAGTCGCTTAACCAACTGAGCCACCCAGGCGCCCCCTGTGCTGGCATTTTAATCTTCCTGTTGGACTTAGGACTGTGGAGTTCCCCATATACACACCTCATTCCTATCACTGCCGTCTTCTTCAATATTGTTAAAGAACTTCTCTACCCAGCATGAAGGGCTGCAACCGTAAGATGACGCACTTGCCCAAACCAGGAGGTGCTAGGGGAAATGTTCTAACTGCCGTCTTACCAAGGTACAAACCTGTAACAGGACTGTGTGGTTTTCCTATCACATGGCCAATGCACTCATTCATCAAGGCTTGAAGACTCTAGGCAAATGGGAAAGGACAAGAAAAGAATGTACATTCTCTCAATGATATAAGTAGCACAAATTAAGCTTTCAGTGTATTTAAAAGAAATATGCTATGCTATCCTTAGTAAATACTTTCAAAGTTCATTTAAAAGACAACAGATACAAACAAATTAAACACAAACTGCACATAATTTAAAATAATAATATATGCCATTCAATTTTTATAAATAAAAGCAAATTAGCATTCAACTCCCCATAAGGCAATGATGTGCACAAGCAAGGAGCTTCTCCTACAATCATCTCTACTATTCGGAGGCTAACATGATTGAATTCACATGTTGAACATCATCTTTTTGAGCTGATGGAATGTACTGGAATAACAGTGGTAATATTTAACATTTGGCATGCTCTCAAATGACGCATGCTGAAGTGAAACAGCTAATCCTTGTTCTTCATTAAACTGCTAAAAAGCAGTAACTATTAAGTCAGCACTTTATAAAATTTGAAACTGACAAATATTTTAGAAGTACCAGGCTTCATAGATATCCACTGACTTAGTCGGTTGAACAATATTGTTATAAAAACAAAAGAACATGGAATATCTTACATCAACGTAAGTTAACAACTTACGTTGTTATGAGTGCTTTAACTTTCAGCATTATCATTACAATTATGAAAAAAATATTTAAGAACAACTATAAAAAAACACAAAATCAGGAACAGTGATCAACTTATTTCTTTAATTAAAAAACAAAACAAAACTCTAGAATATTCCATACCAAGAAGTCATCTTCTGGCAAAGCTGAAATGAAGGCAGGTTCAATGGCTTGTAGAAAGTCAAAACCTTGGGTTGCCCACCTGTTACATGAGGAAGTTCAATAATCACAAAACCAAGAAAACGCTGTAGCAGTTTTAGCCTATACAATACTGAAAAGTAATCTGACTGGAAAATTATCATCTAAGAAAAAAACACAATTTTCGTCTTTATGTAAATGCCTGGGGTTGAATAAATTTATAGCATGTTTTGAGAAAAAAGGACAAACAGCTTCTTAATAAAGGAACTGGTTACCAAATTGTTTCCATTTACATTCATAAAAGGCTTAAATTGCATGAGGGAGGGAAAAAAATTAGCAATCAGGAAGACGTGTCCAGGGAGAATGTGAGCTCCCCTAAAGTTAACTCATTATGGAACTTTTTTTTTTTTTTAAGATTTTATTTATTTATTTGAGAGAGAGAATGAGATAGAGAGAGAGCATGAGAGGGGGGAGGGTCAGAGAGAGAAGCAGACTCCCTGCTGAGCAGGGAGCCCGACGTGGGACTCGATCCCGGGACTCCAGGATCATGACCTGAGCCGAAGGCAGTCGCTTAACCAACTGAGCCACCCAGGTGCCCTCATTATGGAACTTTTTAAGTTTTCCAAAAATTATGGGGTTTTCTGTGTTAACAGTTTCATTTAAAAACACAACAAAGCAAAATCCTATCATCAAAGACTTCAAGATGCCCCTTTTTGTGTCATCTGCTCAGCAATCTCACATAAAATATACACATGAAATACTACCATTCCCACATCCCTCTCTTATTCCTGCATTTTCCAGCTTCACAGGCTGCTCCAACATTCACTCTCTCTCTCTCTGTAGCAGGAGTACTGAGTTACTTGCAGTTCTAGGATACATCTACTTGGTCCTTACCTGGGTCTTGTACCTCGACCACTCTCACATTTAGTTAGGACATAGTTCATCCATTTCCGGGCAAAGCTTATATATTTGTCTCCTATCTTCTGTCTAAACTCTCCAGACATCAAACGAACAACTTCTTTATGATACTGTAAGAAGATTTTGTGTATATCAAAATTAAGAGGAAAGTAATGATTATACAAATATCTAAACACTAGCAATGCCACATCTGTTTCATAAAATACCATTTTTCTATAAACAAAAAGCAAAATCCAATTAAAACAGATATTTTCAAGAGTATGAAGAGTTCAACGATTCATTAGTTGCATATAACACCCAGTGCTCATCGTTGAACATTACAACAAAAACTAATGATGTACTCTATGTTGGCTAATTGAACATAATAAAAAAGAAAAAAGTGTGAAGAGTTAAAGATAATGCAATGTCTTAAAATGCAGTTTCACCAATGTTTTACTCATAAGTTTAAATTACAAATGTACTCTTATGATACTAAACATCTCTTAAAGAAGGTTTTAAAATGGAAGTAGAAAGCTGTTAGCACAAAATAAAAACTGGACAACTATCTGACAATTTAAAAGGAAACCAACATTTCTGATACCCTGCAGTGGGTAAGATGACATTCTTGATTTGCTGTACAAGATTCCTCATACTTTTGGTAGGTAAGTTAGAGAGCAACTGTGAGGTTACACTGTGCTTTTCCTCTTCTTTTGTACCTACCTCGAACCCAAAGTTGTAGCCCTGAATCATTGCTTCTCGGTAGTACTGCTGTAACGTGACAGACTCAGATTCATCAACTTCAGCATCAAATTCTGAAGTGAACATGTGGTCCACTCGGTCAATGGCATCACTTATTCTGTTGCAAAGCTCTAGTGCATCATTCTAAAGAGTCCCAAACCATAATTAATCCAAACAAAGCAAATCACCTAATACTTAACTGTATTTTAGAGGAAGATTTCTTTCATCATCACAGATACTAATCATTGCAATACATTTTGGCCATATTTATTTTGGTCATTCAAAAATAAAGGAATGTGTTATTTATTTATTTATTTAGTTTGTTTTTATCTGTATTAGGTATTCTTTAACATCTTATGAAATACAAGAGGGAAAAAATCCATTTAAAATGATAATGCCTAATTCCTATAAGATGCTTTCATCTTTAATATTTTGCATATCAACCACCAGCTGCTTTTTCCCCCTTGGCAGTTGCTAAAGTATGACTTCAATCGAACAGGATTTCAATCCAACAGGAAGTCTGTATCGTCCTTCGTTATCTCCCTGACACTCCCTAGTTCAGGGGTTCTCAGTTGGGGTGTCAGTCAGGGTCGATTTTACCCAAGGGGGCATTTTACCCAAGGGGACATTACCCAAGGGCAATGCCTCTTTTGGTTGTCAAAACTTGTGGAGATAGGGTGTGAAATCTATTGGCATCTAGTGTGTAGAGATCAGAGATGCTGCTAAACATCCTACAAAACAGGACAACTCCCCAAAACAAAGAATTATTGACCCAACACGTCAATATTGCAGAGGTTGGAAAACCTTGTCCTAGTTCATGCTCTCTTGTTTCCCTAAGCAGGACTACAATCACTCCAAATCGGACCCCTTCCTCTCACCCTTCAACACACACGTATGTACATATGGTCTCCATTGGGCTATCCCCCTACAGACTTTTCCAAAATATTCTTCCTAAATATTCAACTACTACTCTCTGAGACTTAGAAAAGATAAAATCCAAAACCTCTCAATAGCCTGATTTTTGCCCACCTGATTTTACCAGCCTTATCTCCCACAACTTTCCACTGTACACACCAAGATCTAGCCAAATCAGACTATTTGATATTCAGCGAGCATTCCCAGTACCCTGACCCAGGGACACTGATGCCCAAATGTTCCTTCCCAGTTTGTATCTTTTGAAATCCTCCAAGCTGAAATGCCTCCATTGTGGCAACTCCAGATGCGACCAGGAGGATCCAATGCCTCCCTGCTCAGGAGGAGAGACGCTCAAGAATTCCTTACACTCAAGAATTATCACTATCTTATATAATTTTGCACTCTCCAGAGTTCATTGGCTCAAACTAAAAGAAAAGAAAAAGTGCCCTGCACTGGCATTCGAGTGGGATGGCAATCGATGAGAGAACGTGTTTCTAGGTGAATGAGACAAGTCAGACTGACAGGAAGAAACAAATGCTTATCAAACTACTTATAGTTTCAAGAAGTGCTTCTTCTTCAAGAAGTCAAGCCTTAATGTGACGAAGAAGGCATAACTGATGGCCCGTGGAAAAGCATTGATCAGACCAAGACTGATGAACGGAAGACAAGGTAGAGGTGGTGAAAACAGGAAATAATGAGAAAAGAAGGTGAGGCTCTGGCTTGACCTGAACTCCGAAGGCCTAATGCCTGTCTACAGCCGGCTTTCTCTACTGCATTTAATTTGGCTGAATTATCAGTTAAATAAAAGAAGAAATAAATCTTCTTTTAGGTTACACATTACTGATTTGGAGTACCTCTAGCAAATACTCGTAATTGCTAAAGAAGAAAGAAACCTGGATTAGGAGTGAAGAGACCTAAATTCCAGTATCAACTTGGCTACTAACCAACCATGTGGCCATTGAGAAGTCACATAACTGGTCAAATTTCTATCCCTTCCAATTCCAACATTCTATGGTTCCAAGAAAGATCTGGGAGGTTTTAGTGAAGACATGGGACAATGGGAACCGGGAAGAGGGAGAACAGTAAGGACCACGTAAGACTTCAGGTCCCTCGGGTGAGATGACACTGTCGCACACAGATGCCTCCAGAGTGTCACCTCCACACACAAATCAAGGGGCTCAGGCGGAGGTGGCGGTGACGTACCTTTAGCTGCTGCAAAGCTCTGGCGATGACCGGCTGACTGGACGTCTGCTCCTGGCGGAGAGTCATGAGTCCCTCGATGGACTGCTGGAAAGCTTTTCTCTGGCTGGTGAGATGCGCAGACTGCATGACCACTAATAAAAGATGATCCACCTGGGAGGAGAATCAAGCACAGGGCTTAAAAACAGACCCACTCACCGTTTCCCATTCTAGGTCAACCCCTAGTCCGAAAACAATGGCAAACTCGTCAGGGCCACCAGGCCAGTAAGCCCCAGATCAGAAAGCAGTTTTCAAGCAGAGCTACTCCCTGCCACGGGAGCCACACACCGCAGTGGGCGCTACTGTCTGAGGTCTTCCACACAACGCTGAAGAATCCCATGGAACTGTGCAGGCATGGGGTCTCTGAAACATCCTAGAACTGCAAGTAACTCAGACTCCTACAGCAGTGTGCGTGTGAGTGTGTGTGTGTGTGTGTATGCATGTGTGTGTATATGAGCAGTCTGTGAGGCTGGAAAACGCTGGAATAAAACAAGGTGAGAGGAGTGGCCTTCCATGAAACAGACAAAATTGAGAATTTAGTATCTTTTTAAGTGACAGAGTCACTGCAGTATTTTGCATAGAAGTGTGTGTGATATGACCAGAGTTACATATTATAATGATCATTCTCAAAGCACCCAAACAAACACACACACAGACCTGGAGGAGGGAAGGTGAGGTTAGAAGCAGGGAAACTAAAATTGAGACAATGCACTAGGCCAGGAGCCAGATGACAAAGTCTGACCACGGCAGGGCCTCTGGGCTGCAGACAAAGTGTCATTGACTGGAAATGCTCCGGGTGTGTTAGGGCTGCGAACGAACTGGAAGGGTAAAAGGATGAGTTTATATTAACTGTCACATTCTGGTTTCAACAACTGAGTGGCCAGAGCACCACTTGCTGAGACAGGGAACATGAGCGGAAGAGCAGATCGTGTGGACTCAAGAGCACAGTAAGCCAGTGCGTTCAATGCTGGCCAGGCTGAGTCTGAGGTGCATGCGAGCATTCACCACCACTGTCCTGATGTCAACAAAGAGAACGTGAAGAGGCTTCTTACGGGTTTTAATTGAGTTATACAAATCATCACGGGATCCCTGCTGGGTGAGTAGGTAATAGCCTCTACTACAAAAATGTTAACTAACAGCAAGTAAACCAGAGTACCTGAAGAAGTAGAATTTCTGAATTACAAATTAAATGAGGGAGATAATTCCTTTTAGATCATGAGCATACAGATCACAACTGAACTAAGATATAAATATTTCAAATATTCCAGGATAATTTAACATACTTACAGAATTTGAAGGAATATTTTAGTACAACTTGTGATACAAAATTTTTAAAACAGCGAGGCATATTTTGGGGAAGTCTACAGTTGAGACGACTATGGCGGTTAAAGCAATCATTCAGAAGCTGCTAATAATTTATTTTTCCTAAAAATATTTTAAGTAAATAATACTGCTTCAAGGTAGGGGTGGGAATAGTGGACATGGGACCTGGGAGTGACACACACCTGCATGCTTCTCAGGGTATCAACAGTCTCGGCCTGAGGCACAATTTTGACGGGCTGTGCCTCCCACGTGGCCCAGCTATCTTCCGAGTCCCGAGCGCGATCGCTGTGCTTGGTTAGCAGGAGATAGGCGTCAATCAGGACATCATCTGACTCTTTGGAGCAGTCCTTTCCCGCGGCTGCATTGAGTAGCTGCAAAATAATGCTCTTCTCCGCAGCAAGAGTGTCTGGAACAAACACTTGCAAGTTTTCTAAGCCAGGAATCTGTACCTGCAGAAGAAACGATCCAAAGTCTGAGATTAGGGAATGTCACATGTTACAAAAATTTATTTAAAATACATAAAACTAGAAAAAGACAAGTAGGTGTGGGGAAGGCCAGCACTGAGGGCATTGCAAGGGGCCCAGTCCCATGTGACTGGGGGAGGATGCGGAGGGGCACGGGAGTGCTGTGCTGGAGGCCTGGGAAGGCTTCTCCACTCACTGGGCATCCTCCAGCTGCTTTATTTTCAAGAAGCAAGAAAACACCCTTTAGGGGAGGAACTGCAGCCTGAAACAACCTCAACTGATGCTACTTTGTGATGCTTACAGAAAGTCACCTGACTTGGTAAAAAGGCAAAAAATGTTAATACAGATTCACTAATCATTCTTGGTGGGGGCATCATAAGAAGCCTTTTAAAGATCATTTTAATAAGGAACACATATGTGATACTGTTGTGCAAATCACAAACAACTGCAGGTGGGATAAAACTGTGGGCCTGGGATAAAATTTCCAGTAACAATATCATACACAGAATCTATAAGTACTAAGTCTCAAACAACTTAAATGGTAGTAAAGATGAGGACTCCAAAAGGGGCTCCAGTGACGAGTCGGGCACTGATGGCCAAAGTTCCTGTAAAAAATCTGAACTGTTTCAGAAAATGTGAGGGTAAAAACAAAATGACGACTTAAAAATTAATGATTAGGGGCGCCTGGAGGGCTCAGTGGTTAAGCGTCTGCCTTCAGCCCAGGTCATGATCCCGGGCTCCTGGGATGGAGCCCCGCAGCGGCTCCCTGCTTCTCCTTCTCCCTCTACCCCTCCCCCACCCAGGTGCACATGTGCACACTCTCCCTCCCTCTCAAATGAATAAAATCTTCAAAAAAATCAATTATTATTTTATTATTTTACATTACTATTTTAGATACATTATTTTAAATACATGTGTAACTAATTTTAATAAATAGTATGAATAAATATTTGGTTATTTTATCTGCATTCTAAAAGCAAGTTAGTATGAAAAACTTTGTTTTTCTGCTTATTTCATTGAGAAATTATGAGAAAGTCTTATTACTGGGATCAATATATAGCCAGCAAAGCCTAAAATATTTACTATCTGGACCACGAAGAGAAGAGAAAAACAGGAAAGGCAAAATATTCCAGTTACACCATCTTTAATATTTACCTTAACATACTGTTTTGATTTCAGAACATCCAGAAGGTCTCTAACTGGGGCTGAAAGTATGAACTCTGCTGCTATTTCCAGGTCCTAGGATCACAGTTACAAAGAAACTTCTTTAGGGTTAGCTTTTAAAAAAAATAAGGTAAAATAAAAACTTTAAAAAATCAACTGGGATTGATAACTCACCTTTCTCAACATTTTAGCAAATCCAAGTGCCTTGGAGGCTCTTTCTCTAGCTTCATGAAAGAGTTCCTTCAGTGCTCGACTAATCTCTATAACAGATCTCCTGCCAAGTTGATTGAAATCCAGTTAGAGTACATTAGAGTACATCAAGAAATAAACAGCAATAAAGATGAAGCAAATTGGATAAATGGGAACAAGCAATTATGGAGAATGTACTTGAAATACTCAGAAGCTTGCTCTCTTGTGGTTTTCCAGAAAGTGCTTGTATTCTTCAAATAAATAAGGCACATACAATAACCTTCAAATAACAGTAAGCTTGATTTTCTAAAGATTTCCCCATAATAACTTCTTGGAGTTTGAGATAAAGTTCTTACACTGACTCCCAGCTCAGGATTTTACTAAAAAGGAATATATCCGTGCAGTGGTGGGCTGTTGACTGTTTACCAACTGGCTCCCCTCAAAGAACTGCCTTATGTGGTGTTTGGAGATTTCTGTGGTGTAAATACTCGCATCATCGCTGCCCGCAGGTCCCCAGTGTGACAGCACTGAGCGCTGACTAGAGAAGAGATGTGTGCGGTTGCCCCTCGGCTCACTGGGGCCAGGAGGAGCCAGCCCCATCACACTGCCCACGAGCCCACCGCTTAGACCCACCGCTAGCAAACAACCAGAGCATCATCAGGGTCATTCTCCAGTTCCCCATCTTAGATCTCCAATTCTCCCTGCTTATCCGGAATTCACCGCGTTGGCTCTCAGAACTGCAGGACCTTCTACAAACTGACTCATTCTGACTCTCGGCTATTCAGCACTGTCCCAGGTAAGAATCTGTGTGGATACATCTTGCTTTAACCCTGGCACGATGATATCTCAGGTGTTCTGAAACCCAAAATGTGTTTCTCATCAAATTTTGGATGGTGAGAGAAAACATTTCAGCTCTAGAGAAGTCAGCTCCCCCTGAGCATTTCCTAAGGTTGAATCATATGATATTGCTCGTAATTGGCCACAAAATAGCTGTATGGCTGATATTGCCACAAAAACAGCAATTTAACCTGGTCCAACCTGAATACTATCTCACGGAAGTAGAGGAAATGCAATAGATGCGTAAGCCATTGTTTCACGTATTCAAGCTTAAAGTTGAACAGAAGGAATAAGCCATACATAAAAACGATAACAATGTGCCAAGTGTCAATTAAATGTATTAATGGACTGCTACGGAGGTGGGGGGGAGACAGAAACATAATTATTTAATTAGACACATTCTAGGACACAGGGATGAATTCTCTCTACTCATTTTTAGTCAACTTACACTCTCTCTCCCTTTCTCTAAAGACACTATTTTCATTAGGCTAACTAAATTCTAAGTTCACCTTCCAAGAAAATTTCACAGAAAATCCTAAGCAAGCACACGAAAAGATAAGACAGTAATAAATAGAAGTCTTTAGGTCTACTATGGTAGACCTCTACTAAGGTCCAACGTGGGTGGGTTTGAACAGGGCCCATTCTAGACTCATCGCCACAAGCAGAACTCTGTGAAGTAAGGAATGGGAAGGAAAGGAGTGGGGCCGCACCTGATTTCATCTGAGGCATTGCTGTCGTCAGCGCTGGTCCAGAACTCTGCACAGCTCTCCTGCAAGCCGAACTCTAAAAAACTTCCAGTCGACTTCAGTAGCATCCCCGCGATGTCACTAGGGAACAAGAACATGAAAGTAAACCAGGGAAGAAAAACTGTCCTCACTCATTCTAATTCTTGAATAAGACACTGAAAGGGTCATCTACTGTTTTAATAGTTTGAAAATCAACAACAGTGAGAATTTTTCTTTACTATAAAATCATGAATGTGAAAAAGAGGAACTCTCCCATATACGGGCAAGTATCTATCTTTGTTCTATTTCCATGGTTTTATCATAGACCTTAAAACCTTAAATTATATTCAGAGCAGCTATGTAATTATCATATAAGTGTAATTTTCATCTTAAATGTCCAAAATGGTATAAAATGGCCCCAAATATATATCTAAGACAAGCTGTTTTTAAAAGCTTAATAAACTAAATGATGGAAGAAGAAAACAGAGTGAATTTCTTAAATGCAACTGTTTTTACAAATTTCCCTCACAATTAGCTTTTCATCATCCATGAAACGTTCCCTACGGCCGATGCTTCTCGTTGAGTACACAATCTAAATGCTAGGGTTAAAATGTAAACCCGAGTGTACAAAACAAATCTAAATGAGTGTAGTAAAGATTCGGCAGCAGCTTACTGACCTCTTCACTGAAGGAAAGGAGCTTCTAGCTAGTCAAAGAGAGCAGGTAAGCACAACAACGGTGTTGGAGGACTCGTCAGAGGAGAGAGACCAAACCCAGCCAAAGGGCTGGCTGCACTGGGCCTGCAGGCAATGCAGAAAGGAACCCAGAGATCAGCAATGGGAAGAGAGGCTCTGGCAGGAAGGGAATGGAGGAGGGGAAGGAAAGTCCAGGAAGAACAATGAATATGATCAAAAGGCATGAAGATGTGTTAAGCAAGAGGCCTGGTTGTGAAAAGAAATTGCACAATGTGAAAGGAGCAGAGAGGTGGTGGAATAAGACCGAGAAAGTACGCTGGGGCCACGCGGTGGAAGGCCTTGCGTGTCATGCTAACTGCCTGACCTCCGTCCGGTGGGCGAAGAGGCCAGGCTTTAAAAGTAACTGAGTGGGAAAGTGACCTGATTACAAACCCATTTTCAAGAACAATAGTGTACAAGGATATCCATGAAGGGTTTACTCCACAAATACTGAGTATTGGTTATGTACTAAGCAGCAGGGAGCAGAACAGATAAAAATCCCTCCAGTGAATAGAGGAAAAAACAAGAAATAAAAAAGGAAAAGATATAGTTCAGATATTGTTAAGTGCTATGGAGAGAAATAAAACAGGAAAGGGAACTCAGAAGTGCTCGTGAGTAGGAATTTCCATGTTAAATATGGGGAAGATGACATTAAGACAAAGACCTAAAGGGAGTGCAAAATGGGTCATGAAAGTAACTGGGGAAGAGCAGTCTAACAGAGGGACCACCAAGTGCAAAGGACCCGAGGCAGGAGCGTGCCCCGCCTGGGGACACAATCAAGGGCCACTGCAGCTGTGCAGCATGTCCAGGAGAGCCAGGGAGGGGAAGAGCACAGAGGTTTAGTGACAAGTCAGACTGTGCCCGGCCTGAGGGGCCATGTTCAGGAGCTCTGGGTTTCACTGAGGAAGCAGGGAAGCTGTGGAGTATTTGGAACAGAGGAAAAAATGGTCTGAGGTGCATCTGAACGAGGTCACTGGCTGTGGTGTTGAGAACAGACCAAAGGGACGAAGAGCTGAGCAGAGACTCCTGGAGAGCGCCTGCAGTCATGTGAGAAGTAACAGCCTGGGAAGAGCGGCAACGGGAAGTGGTGCATAGGGGTCAAATTCTGGATCTTTCCCGAAGGATCAGAGGTAGTGTGTGAGACAAAGAAAGCAATTAGGGATCACTGGGAGACTGATGGAGCCTGGGTGGAACAGCATGTGAAGGAGACGGGTGCTGTGCTCAGCTCGGCCGAGCGAGAGCCGCACCAGGGGCCAGTCCCTCAGCGGGGCGTGGAAAGCTCGGGAGCTGCTCAGAGCAAGGCTGGTGCAGGCCAAGGCCAGAGCCCCCACCGCTCGACCTGAAGGACGAGCAACAGACAGAAACAAGGAGACTGACAGGAGGAAAAGGGGATGCGGTGAAATCCCATCACTTGAATTTGTAGCGCAAATGAACAGTGACCTTGAAAACAATCTCTTCTGCAGGCGGGCCAGCCTGGAGACAGAAAGTGCTAACAGAATAAACGGCAGGCCAAGCCGAACGACAGGAGATTGAGAGAAGGCGAGATGCTGAAATGGAAAGGCAGATGCATGGGGAGTCAGGGCCTGAAGGGCTGGAGAGGTCTGGGAAAGAGCAAGCTCACAGCTCACTGGAAACACAGGCGGAGAGGACGCGACGAGGACGTGAAGAAGATGGGTGGTTAGGGCAGAAGGGGGAGCCTAGGTCCTGAGCAGGGGACAGAGATGGCGGAGTCGACGACAATGCGCCTCTGCAGCTGGAAAAGAGCCAGGCGAGCAGAGGCCCTGGAGAATACACACGAGGGAGGGAAAGCTGCTCCAGGCCAGGTGCGAGGAATGCACAGAAAGGAGACAGAACTACACTGGCAGATGAGGCAGCAACCACCGACGACAGCCGAGGGGTCAGGCGGCGGGGAGGGGCACCCCACCATCAGCGTTCAGCTCCCCAGTAAGAGACGGCCATTTCCAAACACACACCAGTGACCACACTCCCCTCCCTCAGGGTTTTCCTCTGTTTACGTTTCTAACCTGTGCCTCATAAGGAGATTCCATGATTAGCAGAACACACGAAAACAATCTCGGGAAATGCACACCTTGGGTTCCCCATGTCCCCACACTGAGACTACAGGCCTGTTCTACTCTTTGGAGGCCTAAGAGGGTTGACACTAAGGCAGGGTTTCTCAACTTCCAAACTGACATTTTGGGTGGATAATGTTTGGTTTGGGGCGCTGTCCTGTGCATTGCATGATGTTTAGCTGTGTCCTTGTCCTCTAATCAGTCGGACCTCCCAGTCATCACAATCAAAACTGTTTCCAGACATTGCCAAATGTCCCCACAGGGCAACCCGCCCCCCCTACTGAGCACCCTCGCTCAAAGGACCCCAAAACCTGGGGGAGAGGCGCACACACACACACACAGGACTGGTTGTCATGTGCACATAACTGAACAGGCAAACGGGCCAGCAGGTGCACTCAGGAGCACAAGGGTTCCTACCAGAAAAGTTTCCCAGCCTGTGCTTCTCCTCCCCGGATGTAATGGGTTATTTCTTTGGTGAAATTCCATTCTTCTTCTAATAGGTTTTTTAGACTATGGGATGCTTGAGGTAACTGCTGCAGCATTTGGATCCAGCTTCTCATGTAATCAAAATACACCTTAAAATACAAAAACATAAAGGGAGATATTTGAGAATGGAACTCAGCAGCTCTCAGCTTTCACCTCTGTTAACCTGGAAGCTACAAATTAGAAGGGCCAGGTGGAGGGGAACCCTGAGTACACAGCACAGAGAGAAGCAAGATCTTCATCACAGGACTGCTGTCCAAATGGAGATGTCTCTTAAACTGCACAACTCAACTCCCCGGCAACTTAACACATTATTTACAATCTCTTTAAATTACCAACAAAATAAAATGTTCACCATGTACACAGAAGTAAAAAAAGAATCAAAATAATAGCACCCAGAAATGTTCATTATTAATATATTGTGAACATTATTCCTTTAAGAAGTTGGGATTCTTACTTGTCTAACTGCTTATTTTAACTTCAGACAATATCTTCCGTGTTGAGAGGGAATGAACACACTTTTCCCCACCATCCATTCCTGACACCCAGATTTCTATGACACAGTTTTTTTCAAGATTTATGACATATAAATTATGATTTCTAATCAAAATACCCAGTTTTTCTGAAGTGGGGTTTATGTCCACCACAAGTCCTACAACAACAGCCTTCCCATTCCTAACTCCTTATTTTGATGTATCTGCTGCTTACTAGAGGGTTTCACTATCCATCAGCTTTTCTCAAGATAGGGTCCCAACTGCTAGATTACAAACCCTCACTGCCTATGGATTCTTTTACCAAAAGGACAACTCGAATGAGTATGAAATACCTGAGTTACACATTCTCTGCCCCGGGACGTTGAAGGCATTACTCCTCCACCACTTTCGAACGCTGCATGTTGTTCAAACGAAGAGCCCTGACGCTGGCCCCATCTCCCGCTGTCCCCACTCCCCTCACACCTGGAGCTGCCTTGCTTTTTTCTCTGCTCGGAGGTTCACAGGATTCTGTATTTAGTCTCAGATCTCAGTTACCTCCCCAGGCTACGTCTCAGGGTTTGCTGGAATGAATACTTTCTGAAATCCAGTACTAATTTTCAGTAGGCAAACTGCAGGTCTGTATTTCAAGAAAACTGTCTTCTGTTGTGTCTTTGGATGCTTCTGGGCCTCCAGCAGCCAGGCTGTGTGGTGGGAATCTGCAGTCCGGGTCCCTTATGAACACCAGTGTCCGAGTATGTGGAACCTACAGTTTTGCCATCTTTACCAAATGAAATAAATCTCTTAAATATGAGACCAGGACCGTCCTCTGGCTTCTCGGAGTGCTGCTTCCTCTCCCTTAAATCTGGCTGTCTCCTGAGGGTGGCCCTTCTCTCATACAGCCCTGCCACGGGGCGCCTGTATGACCCCGGACTTCACGGGCTGCAAACAGTTTGCATCGTCCTGTGCATCACTGAGCCTTTCAAACCACTGCTCTTACGGTCTTATTTAAAACCAAAACAAAAAAGAAACACATGCCCCTTTAAGATTTGAGTCATCAGATACACCATCGAACCCTTTCTTCATAGTGTCACCTACTGATTTCCAACTGCCCGTCATCCTTCGTCACACACTCCGACATCTGACATCGTCTTCCCTCCGCCCCAGGCTCAGCTACCACACTGTGCTTCACCCCAGATCTTATCATTACGGAATCATCTCTAGGCCTCAAATCATCAATCCAAATAGGCTGATTCTAAAACCTCCTCCCCTCCATCCAGTTTTCTGTTCAACTAGCACCCCTGTGACTGTTCTCTTATTTAATCCTTACCTGAACTCCAGTGCACCATTTTCTCTTCTCTCTCCAGCTCACTCCCCCTTGTTCCGCCCCCTTTCCTCCTTATCCAGCTTAGAGCCAACACGGTCACGCTCCCCATGCCACTGCGGTCACCACCCCACACCCTGCCACCTCTCCCTTCCTTTTCAGCTCACCTGCCTGCGAAACCCCAAAGCACGATGAGCCTGACGAGCCCGCGCCCCATGCCCGCACTCAGGAAGCTGAGGGCCACGAGTGTCAGGGGACCGGGAGGAGCCACTGCTCTGTATGTCGTCCCAACCACATGGTGTACGGTCTGGTAATATTCGTATCTCCACCCAAGCCATTCTCCTTCTCCCTACAAGCACAGTCTGAAACTCCGCCATTTTGTCAAATGGCCAATGCCCACCCTCACACATCTCATCCCTCCTAGCAAAGAAAAAAAGGCATTAGATATAAAACCCCTCATCTTCTCAATACCAAAAATGCACACCCACATGTGACATGCCGTCCTCCCCTTCCTAGCGGTGGCCAAGTGAAGCTTACACCTGTATTTGGAGACCCACCTCCTCATGGCATCTGAGGAACCTCGCACTATCGATTTCCCTCTTCTCTGATATGCATATAATTCTGTCCATCTCTTTCCCTTAACAAAATCAGTCCCAAAGGCTTTCAAATGGTCTCTAGTAACTTCAATTTAAAAACTCTCCCTGGACCCACAGTCTTCACTATGAACCCCACTGCAAGAACCAGGCCTCAGCGGGAACCCCAGCTGTGCATGTCTCGGCCCTCCCTCTTGCTTCCCTCCCTCCTGCTTCTCGGCCCCTCCCTCTTCCACAACTGCCACATCTTGTTCATCAGTTTCATACTTTCATCCCTCTTAAATTCTTTTTATGTGGTTTCCTTAAATCGATCACATGTTCCTACATCTCTATCTAGTTTACTGTTTTGGTTATTTCTAAGGCCAGGGCCAGAGAAATGAGCTAAGACAGCTGATAGCTTCAAAGTGATTTGTTGCCTCAAGCAAACGCTCACCAAGTCACGTCCCTGCACCTGCACACGTACGTGCTTAGGTTTCCCTAGTCAGGATGATGATGTAACACAGAGTAAAGCCCCCAAGTCACAGAGATTCTGCATCAGGACCTGCTGACCACGGCTCCCCCTCACCCCGCGAAGCTCGCATTCGGCGGCCTTCCTCAGCCGGCAGGACACACTCGGACAGCAGAGTTGTCTCCACTTCTGCTCCCCTGTCTTGCAGATCTGCCGCTGACAAGTCCTCTACAGGGACTCCTCCTGCTTCTCTCCTGACCGTTCACACCCCAGATATCCCAGCTCTAATGAAGCACTGGCTGGGTAGGAGATACTTAGAGCTTGTGCCCACCCTCATTTTAGCCCAAATTTCAAGGTAAGTGATTGTAACAGTTTTCTGGAAGCAAGGAGAGGAGAGCAGTGTAGTCAATTTCCTCCTTTACTGAACATGGAATTTCGTTCTTTACTCTTCCTTCTTTTCGCTGATTTTTGGTGAGGTTCCTGAGAAGGGTGTTGTGGTACACATAATGTGACTGACCATTCAAAGGCCAATCTCTCCCTCCTTCCTAACAAAAACACCGATTTTGTTTGCGTTCCCCCAGTTTTCAAAACATGCCTCTGCCATTAGCCATTGAGCATACTTTGAGGCACAATTTTAAAAATCACTGGTAATTTCTAGCTCTTCATCTGCGAAATTACAGAGATGAAACTAAGGGAGATCTGGCCCCACATGGATCACTCGTAGCAAAACCAAGACTAAATCCTAAGTACTTGTAGCTCTAAGGAGTAACTTACTTGCCCTCCACTTCAGATGGCCCACAGGAACACCAAGGACACCGAAGCTGACTGACCTGGAGGACACGGTTCACCTGCCTCATTCTCTTCCTTCCTGCCCCAGTGCCTGTACGCTAAAGGGTGCTGTGCGTGCCTTTGTAAAACCACCAAAGACAGTTTGGAAAGCAAAGCACTTTTTGGCTTTTTAAGCTCCTGCTTTAACCATCCAGAGAGAGAGAGAGAGAAAATAATTTGCTTTTGCTTTTTAACCATGACTTTTCAATGGTAACAACTTTTCTGACCTAAGAAATATATAGTATTTCAGAATGTAGCCACATTTTACACACTCTGGTCTTTTATGCATGCTCCCGAAATAATTAGGAAATAATTTCAAACTCAAAACTATTTCTTGCGATATGCCAGATATTATAAGTCCCCTTCGTACCATTCTTCTTTCTATCCTTCTACGATAGAGGCTGGAAAGCTAAATACTTGCAGCCCCAGCCTCCACGACAGTCAAGAGGCAGGCAACAGGTTTGGCCATATGACACAGTGAAAATCTGTCGGCTGTGGCTTCCAGGAGAGCTTCGCTGCTCTGGACTGAGCTGGCAAGGATACTTTTTCCCTTTTTTCCCTTTTCCTTTCTTCTAGCCTAGAAAGTGGGGGTGGTATCTGGAGGTGCTGCAGCCATCCCGAGGCAAGATACAGCGAGATGTCCCACAAAACATGTCTTAAAAACATTACAGAACAATATACCCATATGCATGGTCATTTTTATATTGTTTCACTGACTTGCCACATGACAGAATCATCTGTGCATACACTCTAATGAATCCAACCTGTGTCCGTTATACACTAATACCCCACCAGAAAGTATGGAAGACCAGACCACTTCAAGCCATAGCCCCTGGCTTACGAAGCTTTCGGGCTAGTCGGGGAACGCCGAGAGCAGAGCAGCAGATCACTGAGTCCGCAAGGGCACGGCGCCGATCGTAACTGCTGAGACGGTGCAGAGGAGGTACAGGTAAATGCACGTTAAAGGTTGAAGTTGTCAGATAGGGCTTTCTAGAGAAAAGTAAAACTTGCAAGTAAGTCTTAAATGAGTGGATAAGGAAAAGGGACATGTCTACCAGGAGGGAATAATAGGAGCAAAAGGACAGAGGTTAGAAAGCACCAGTAAGCACAACACCTGTGGTGTGAGAAGCCTGGGGAGCTCCTCTTGGGAAGAAATCAAAGTAAGTCTGCTCCTGCCAAATCACAGTATTTACAATTCCTTGGATGTGCGTGGTTCCTCAGCTAACTCTTGACTCAGGGTAAGAGCTCCCACGTGTCCCCAGGCTAGTTCAGAGGACCTGTCCCCAAGTCGTCCCTGCACCTCAGCAGAATTCCGCCCTGGCACCCAGCACTCAGGGGGCAAGTACCCCCTATGCCCAGGTCCCAGCAGAAGAGGAGCCTCTTACTGTCCACTCCTGCCTTCCCAGCCCGAGCGCGGGCACGCGATACAGAAATGGCTGATGCCAGACGGCTGGATAAAATAGGACTGGACTATGGTTCCATTTCTGGGCCATTCTGCTATAAGATGAAGAGTCTTAGAGTTAAACAATGAACTAGGGTAAGCTTTGTCAAAAATTCTAACACAAAACCATTGCGGATTTGTTAAAATGTGGATTTGGGAGAAACAAATTTAATCCAATACTAGATGAAAAAGTCAGGCTGAAGACTGCCGTCCCCCTTCCCGCGCTTGCTCGCTTGCTCGCTCTCTCACACACACAGAGACGGGCACGCACGCTCCAGCACCCTCCCCTGCCCCCGGGCCTCACCATCAGCATTTTGTGCAGGTCCTCCTCGAAGGCGTCGATGTTGCAGTCGGTCTTGTCCAGGCGGTCCAGCACCTCGTGCAGCATGAATTGGTAGTACTGCTTCATCAGCAGGCCGCCCTTGAGCACCTCTTTGCACTCCCTCACCAGCTGCAGGGGCACAAGCTCTGTCACTCCACACACCCTCACCGCACCCCCTCCTCCTCCACAAAACCTCTCAAAGTCCTAAAATATTTTCCAATTCCTTACCAGTTCACTTTATATAACCATTTTAGTAGTCTTGATCAAAAATTAAAGAGTGAAAATAAAAGTGATTAGGATTATCGTATGAATACACAGAGAAATTATCATACAGGAAAACATTGATTTGTGAAACTATATTCCCCTACAAAAACATTTATGTAGAAAATAAACCCCACAGAAAAAGATCTATTTTTCTACTAGGGATAGGAGAGAAAAATCCCCTAATGAAACTGATGATTTTTATCCAAAAACATAATAGAGATTCAAATATACTCACATGCCACAGAGCACGACAATCTTTGTAATAATTTAGCATAGCAACTACTGCGATCTGTGGCCTTTACTATCAAAAGCCTCTAATCATCACAAAAATCAAACCTAAGCTCAATTTGATGAAATGAGACGGAAGTCAAGGGAAAACAAATCTAAACAAAAAGCTGAGTGCCACCGCCATGGGCAGGCCCAGCAGGTAATGCTGGAAAGGTGGGGGAGGCTGACATGGGATGACTGACCTTAAAGTCTTTTCATCATAATAATTATCATGTATTACCATAATATTATTTAAAATGATGGGGATTAAATAAATTATGATGTACCTACACAGCAGAGCACTCCTGCAGCCATTTAAAATCTAGTTTTTGAAAAATATTTAAGGGTAAAAACTCGTATTTTTTTTCTTTTACTTGTATGTGTAGGAAAAACAGATGGATAAAAACATACCAAAACAGTTACAGTGGTTATCTCTGACTGGCAGCATGATAGGATAATTTTCATTTTTGTCTGTATCATTTTCTGTACCTTTCAAATATTCTACAATAAATATGGATTGCTTTTATAAACATAATTTCCCCCTTTAAAATGGTCTAAAAATAATTACCCACGGCAAGAGAGCCATGGCTAGAGTTAAATCTATCAAAAGCTATTCTGTTCAGATGTAAATTTCTCTGTTAAAGATGTCACTTAGGTGCTTATAACCAAATCTTTGAATAATTTTAGCCAAAATTTGTTTTATTTTGATTCTAGTAATGCTACATTCATCTAAGTATTGTTTTTATTTTTTTAAATATTTTAACATAAATTCCTGTTTCATCCTCACAATAGCTCCCTTGGCAAAAAGTAAACTCTGCCTTGTCTTACTAGGTTATATTCCTGAAGTATTCATTTTGTGAGAAAGGGAAATCAGTATTTTACCCAAACTTCCTAAATTACCACTGCAATCAGGTGGACAAGTGAGAAGCAAGGCCACAGTGGATGACAGGACAATAACCAGAAGCAAGGTGGTGAGCAGCAGGGCGCATGAGGAAGCAGCGCTCTCTGGTCAGTGCTGGACAGAAACTGAAGCGAGGACAATGAGGTCCACGAGTCACCCCCTCTCCCAGCTAAACCAACAAATTCAAGTCCTATTCTGTGCCTATCGTATGGCTTGTGTTTGTCCCCAGGTGCCATTGGTCATCCTGAGCCAATGAGCTCCTAGCCCTTCCATCCTGAGGGGATGGACATGCACAGTTGACAAAAACACACCTTTTTCTTTCTTTTTTTTTTTTTTTCAAAACCTGACATGTTATTTTGCATAGTGGATGTGGTAATATCATAAAGTACAAATACATTTGGCAGCATTCACTGTGCTAGATACAACTGCTTCCACCCATTCCTGTTACCTCTGGAGTATCAGACTCGCCTAGAGAATCCCATCCAAAATGAACGAAAACCAAGAAAACAGCAGCTGTCATTACTATTTAATCCATGCAACTGACTAAGCAAGCAAAAAGTCCAAACATCTCTCCACTGCATACTCTAAAGGCATTTATCTGTTCCCATGTAGCTTAAACAGAACAAAAATAAATAAATTTAAGGAATTTAAACTACTTCTAATGAGTGAATTTTAAGTTTCCAGCCTCCAAAGACTGATGTTAACAGACTATGTCATTTCATCACTGTACTTTTATATCCTTTCGGAATGAGGAAGTGATGGCAGAAAGGTTGAACCACAATCTTATCTTTGAGACTACATGCAAAGAACATTTTAAATTACCCTAAAAAGAGCAGCTTAAAAACACTAACATACACTCATTTTTCACTACTCGCAAGAATTAAAAAAAAAAATCCTCAATCCAAAATAAAAACAAGCCTATAGAATAGCACAGTAACTGCTAAATATTTTTAAACAGTCGTTGAAACAGACCTGCTTAATACTCAAGAGAGATGGTTCCCCAGCAGGCCTCTGTTCCAGTCTTAACTTCAGACACTCATGTATCACGTTCAGAAGGACTCGACAGAGCACCAGGAAGGCAGGCTCGAAGGAGGGTAAGTCCATGGACTTCAGCTCGTCCCACGACACAGTGCTGCACTTCTGCTCTGAGGAAGGTGGCGTCCTGGATAACTGCACATAATCGGAACCCCACATGGGGTCTGGAAATTCGGAAAACTATAACAAAAATTCAACAAAGGTTAAAAGAGCATACAAAAGAATGTCCTAAGGTCGTGGTTATAAACTATTATTCTCTATAGTTTGCTGATGATCTACAAAATCACAATTTTTCAGGTAAAATAATCTTTAGAATAATTCAACATTTTCAACATAGACCCAAAAGTTCTAAAAGTAATAGAAAATCATAACAAGGACACCAAATTATAATATTTTTATCAAAAAAGCATAGTAGAAAAAGAATCAAGTTCATCATTTGCATCAAACATTTTATCATCATACTTAAAATGATTAGAACACTTTATTTTTAAGGTTCTATACAGCATTATCCACAACTATCTCCAGACTGAGAAAACCAGAAATTACTGAAATTTGAGAAAAGATTACAAAACCAGGGAGACATTTATGTAAACATAAAAACTAGTTGGTTCAACCAATTCTTCTGTCCGTTGCTCTCTTGAGCTACACCAAATGATGCTGATAGAAAACAATTCATAAAATTGAACTGGCTGGTCCCACTCAAATATCTGCTATTCAGCGTTCCTAGGAATCTCAGTGTTGCTCACCCTTTCTTATAGTTACCCTCTTCAGATGCCTTATGCTTTCCCTCATAAAATAGGGGATTCGGAGCTTTCCCCACTGTCCTTAGACCCCTGGCAACATCATCCTGACCAATCATATCCAAAGACCTTCCCTTCTCCTTTTATTGAGAAAACAGAGGCCAACAAAATTCGAAAACCTCAACTTCTCACCAATTTATTTTTTTTAAAGATTTTATTTATCCATTCCAGAGAGAGAGAGAGCAGGGGGAGGGACAAGCAGACTGCGCTGAGCGCGGAGCCTGACATAGGGCTCGATCTCAGGACCTTGACATCATGACCAGAGCCAAAACCAAGAGTCGGCCGCTTAACCAACCGAGCCATCATCCAGGCGCCCTTCAATTTCTCTTCAATTTAAAACATCACCAATTATAGGTATTCTGCCTCCATGTCATTCGTATCTATGCTCCCTGCCATTTAGTGAATTCTTAACTGGTCTCCTCTGCTCCTTTTATGCTCAATATATACTTCTGCATTTAAATTAATACATACTTCAGTTTCCCGTAACAGCCAAGAATTTTAAAAATGGTACATCATTTTTAAAATGTGATCAATGTGGTCAGGTCAGGGTTAAGACATGTCTGTTTAAAAGCTTTAGGCAGTAATAAATGCTTCTTTTCCTCTGGTGTAGAGAATGAGCTCAGGTCAAAGGTTTATTCAAAGCTCTACAAAATTCAGCGAACTTTCTCTGATAAAATTCTAAAGAATTCTTTTGGCATTGTCTAGAGCTCCAGCCCGCTCACCCATGCGCTACAGGCTCACTGGGAAACAGAACAATCCCTACTTGTCCACAGTGAAGACAACACCGCCTAGGAGACCCCACAGGCAGACCCACGCTGCTGCGGAGGAAACGGGGTCCCACTGGTGGTGCATGCTGGTGACTCAGTCCCTGTCCAAAGAGGTACAAATGTTAAAAAACTACTGAGCATGGAAGAGGAAACAGCAATTTTAACTAAGGAAACCAAGCTGAAGCATCAGAACAGCTGACTCTCATTTAATGTGGGAAACAGGAGAGAACCGTAAAATACTCTACTACACGACTGCACTGAAGTCCTCTGGAAAAAATTTAACAAACCAAGATTTCTAAAACAAGTTCAATAAAGACAGTGAAAATAGAATGGATGTGGTAAAAACTAAGAACTCAGACATTAACTATAGAAATTATCACTACAACAAAGAGCAAAAGAAAAAGGAAGGGAAGTTTTGAGTGAAAAATAGAGACATGGAAGTCGGATCTAGGAGCTTCACGTGAGAATAACAAGAGTGTGGAAAAAACAGAAGGAAGAGATGGAGGGGAGCTTTTTGCACAGTCAAGGTATCACTAATATGTGAAGAAGAAAGAAGAAACCTCCTTGGATACAGAAGAACTCAAAGTACAGTTCATTTACCTTCACTAAAAAACTCCCTGAGGAAGTACAGTAGGGTCTAGTCAAATGAAAATTAAATCAGAATAAAGATCCAAAGACAAAAATACCCAAGGAAGTGAGAAGCCACGAAGCTAGCAGCAGTTACACAGGCAGATACAACTCCATAATGGTAACTTGGTGAGAGACTATAAACAACTCCCAGAAAGGAGTACTTGAATTTTTTTTTTAAAAAGGATACTATAAGAAAAAAACCTGGATCTTAAATTCCCAATTATTTCAATAAAACACAAGAAGAGAGGAAGGGGGCAATAAAGTGCAAGATCAAGTGCAATTTCATCCGTTTATTATCACTTCCAGTGAGAAATACAGGATTAAATATGGTATAAAATCTGTGATCAACTCAGGAAAACTGAGCCAACTCAATAGTAGAGACATCAATAAAAATGCAATGTAATTACAATCATAACCCCACTGGCATTTTGTGGAGGTTAATAAAGTCATTCAATAAAATTCACATGGAAGAAAGTAATGTGCAGAAGTAAAAACAGCCCAGAACTTTTTTAAAAGAATAAACGGGAAGAACTGCCCTACATGATGGCAAACCTTACTAATAAACCTACTTTATTTAAAATAGAAAAGTACTGTAAACAGATCAGCAGAGAAACATATCAAATTATCTACAATAAATACATAAAAAAGTAGGCAATAGTTGAAGTTGGAAAATGGATAACCCAATGTTAAAGAAAACTGAAAAATAATTACATCTGTACCTACCCCTGTAACTATAGTCATAATTTTTTAATTATGAGGCTATTTTAGAAATTCTTGCCTGATATGAGAAACTATAGGATGTATTAACATAAATACAAAAATATGTTTTGAACATATACATACAGAAAGACTCCAAATGTTAATACAGGCTTAATAACCTAAACACAGAGCTATACATTAGGTTAAGCCATATAAAATTGCCATTTTAGTCAGTCAAAAATGACCAAATATTGGCAATTTAGTACAACATAATAACAGGAATTCTGGAACGACAGTGGCGGCAGCCGGATTTCGATTTCCCTTAGTCCCCCCATAAGAACAGACAGAACAAGGACAACCAAGTCAAAACTCCTTGAGACACATGTCCACTAAAACTACGTGACAAGGTATCTCCGTGAACTCCAAAGTAGAAGAGATGGGGGGAAGTGAACCGTGCCAGACCCTGTGGTTATCAGCACTTGTGCAAGGGAAACACGGGGGATTAATAGGGTGTCTGATGGGCCCAAAGGGGCAAATTCCACAATCACTAATGACTATGCAATAGAAAGCTCACTGCTTCTCTTTGAGGACTTGAGTGAAACAGAAAGCGATTTGGGTACAAAGTCATGAGTGAGGTCAAGGGGTTGCAACAGGTTTGAAGGGGCTGAAGTGGCTTAGGCCTCCCAAACTCTTAAAACTATCAGCTAAAATCCCCTTTCCAGGACAAACCTGCTAGACTGAAATCCAACTGACCAGGAAAGTAGAGTAGAGGTAAAGAACAACAAGGTCCAGAAGTGGGAGGGTAACACACCAGAAGATCTCAAAAAAAGAGAACATGTGCTTGGGCAGTTCAGAAGAAGGAGCTCAAAGCTACAAACCCTAACACTTCTGAACTCTCTCTTTCCTTAAAGTTCATGAAAATAAATACGTTTAAAAATGAGCAAAAGGACTGTGCTAGAATCCAATACAGGGTTATTAAGCGGAGAAATAAGCAGAATAACCCTAGAGACAATGAAAGCCTGCCAGAAAGACATGCCCACTAAATAGAGAGGACTGCAGCCCAATTTTCAAAAAAAAACTAAAAGAAATTAAGAAAATCATAGAAAATATAAAAGAACAACATAAATTAGAATTAGAAAAACTCACAAATAAAGTGGTAGTACTCAAAAGGTAATTTTCTTAATTAAAAATCATTTTAGGGTGCCTGGGTGGCTCAGTTGGTTAAGCGACTGCCTTCGGCTCAGGTCATGATCCTGGAGTCCCAGGATCGAGTCCCGCATCGGGCTCCCTGCTCAGCGGGGAGTCTGCTTCTCCCTCTGACCCTCCCCCCTCTCATGTGCTCTCTCTCTCTCTCAAAAAAATAAATAAAATCTTTAAGAAAAAATCTTTAAGAAAATCATTTTAGGGGCACCTGGGTGGTTTAGTCAGTTAAGCATCTGACTCTTGGTTTTGGCTCAAGTCATGATCTCAGGTTCATGAGACGGAGCCCCACATCGGGTTCCCCACTCAGCAGGGAGTCTGCTTCTCTCCCTCTCCCCCTGCTCCCGTGCTCTCTCTCTCTCTCTCTAAAATTAAATAAATCTTTAAAAAATCATTTTAAGAACAAAAAGCAAACTAGCAGGAACATGAGCGCAAATAGAACAGATAATGGCTTCACATAAATAGGAGGTAAAAATGAAGACAATTTTATAAATCAAAAAGAAAAAAGAATGAATGAATGAATCTGAAAGTGACAGAGAGGCAAAGTAGATCCAAAACACATACAGTAGTGGTTCCCAGAGAAGAAAACCAAACTAATGAAACAGAAGAGTTAAAACATTAAGAAATTCACTTGAAATTAAAAAAAAAAAAAAAACATAGAAAGCAAACAAAACCTGAAATCATATACTAAAAGGACACCACGTATTCAAAAATACCAATGTGGAGAAATCAACACCAGGTAAACTAGTGGAGTTTAAAGAAAAAAGAAAAAAAAAAAAACAATCCTTTGGACATCCAGGTTATAAGTAAATAAATAACCAAGTTTCTACTTATAAGTAGAAACAAAAAAATCATATTGCCATGAGACTTTGCAACCGCAAGGCTGCATGCCAAAAGACAATGAGTAATATATATTAAACTTACTCAAGGAAAGAAAATACAAGCCAAATTTTATGGCCAAATATACTTGCAAGAGTCAATTCTGCAAACTGTTAGGAAAATCCAAGAACTCAGAAAACACTGGTCTTATGAGCCCTTACCAAGGAATCTACTATGAACAAAATGACTCAGGAGGCTGTCAGAA